TTATTTTATTTTTAAAATTAGGTATTCATGCAAATTCTTTTTAGACATATGATCAAAGACCATCTAAGGTTTTAAGGTTTGGATACATATTTGATTTGTCGTCGACACTTTACTCGATTGACATTGTTGATTAGACACTAAAAACGTAAACACGATTTAGGAACTAATTCTGTATTTCGATGTTGTCAGAATGATTGTTATTAGGTCTTTCATAATATATGTAGTTATAAAATAGATATGAATAGGAAACATGTTGTAGATTCATATATCGAAACAAACTTCGCTGACATCAACAAAACCCATACAATACCTAATAGTTATAAAGTCCTTTTACCTCAATTTGATTAAAAAAAAACGATACATTTTCATGAGAGCATAATAAATCAATTAATTTGGAAGTTATCAAGAAATCTGTGGAATTTAAACAATAGGAATTTCATAGAACATTAAAATAATAAAAATTAAAATGTCAAATTCAAATGTGATCAAGACGTAAAATAAAATAATATAAATAAAACTAAAAGCCAATATCACATAAATTACGAAAAATTACGAAAATAATAAATTTTTTAAGACACAGTTTTTGTTTCAACCTTTACTAAGTTTTATATGCCAGCATTTCGAAGAAAAAGGAGTAGCAATGACAATAAGAACCTACCAGTTATAGACTGGGTAATAAAATTATAGAAGATTTTCATCCGAAAAATTGGTAAGAATATCATTTCAGATAAATTTTCTATATACTCACTATAATTAGGCAAGTGTTATTCCAGTCACAGTCATTTTTTATTTATTTTCTGTTTTAGGAATTTCATCGTACAAAAAAGAAAAAGTCCTAGACATCTAATCAACCAAATAAGAATAGAAAATGAAAGACAACTCGGCATCTACAAGAGTTCCGTAAGTTTTTTGAGATCTATAAATTTTTTTATGTCACCTCATTTTTTTCTCTAGGTACCTCGTAAAATAACCAAAAAACCAATTTGAAATATTCCATTTTTGCTTAGCCAAAGCAGAGGTTTATTATTTAATTTAGTTTCAGTTTCTATTTATTTGTAATAATTCTAAAATTCATGTGGAAAAATTTATGGTTTTAAAAAAATTACTTCACAGGATTGTCAGAATTTTTTTGAAAACGTTTTGATTTTGTTTATGTCAGTCTGATGCTACTCTGTAGTATAATAGAAAAAAAAACAAAAAACTTTTAGGTCCAGAACCAGATGTTGAAATATGTTTAAGAGCAATCAAGTTTGAGAATCTGACGTCGAAGCAGTATGGCAGCTATTGGAAAGCCTACACAAAATATAGATTAAACGATATCAAAATGTCTCAAAACACCCAAGACATTTTTACAAAATGGCCACATTATAAACATCCTTCTGGTTACCGATTGGTAACTATACAATATTTTTTCGGAAACCAGTGCTGATAAACTTTTTTTAGATTGATATTGATTTCGAAGTGGCATTCGAAAATGGGGATGCATTTGTAAAATATTTTGATTTGTATTTTGACAAAATTTTATCTTTTTTAAGAACAGAAATCAAGGACAAGACATCTAAATAATTGCTTGTAAAACTTCAACATGAAAATATTACCGAAAGTGAGTAATTACCTTGTTATTAGTTATTATACAGTTTAACACCAAGTTTGAGTTTAAAAATATGAATAGTTGGATAGATAACACGTTTCTATGTTTTAGGTGGCAGACATGCAGTTCTTTTATGGGCGGCACTACATGGATACTTTTAGCCAATAAGGCGATAAAAAAAGGCACCAGCGGGAAGCAAAACGTAATTAAATACATAATAAAGGACTCTCAGGAATCATTTCTTTATATAAATGTCAACCAACAAAGAGTTTAGGAAAAAAAAGGGCATATTCATGCATTTATTTTAAGTATCGGTGAGGATATAATTAATACCATAATTGTAACAGTATATTTTGATGATATTCGGTATACATTTTTTAATATATTAAGGGCTGTATCTTTTTAAATTATGTATTTCTTTGACCTTAATTTTGCCCCCGAATCAGAAATGTTTTAGAATTTTATTTCCCAATATTTTTTCAAAATGCAAGGAAGTCAGTTTTTTCGAATCTGCATATTTTATCTGAAGTACTTAAGAGTAATAACAATTGTGAAGTGGAAGGAAAATGTTAAATATTGGTTTCTATTTAAAAGAAACATCGATTACGTCATCAGCCCATCACAGTTTACATCACCTTTTTTTTAAGTATGTCAAAGAATGAAAAACATAAATTGACATATTACAGAATATTTCTTAAGAAACGACTATTTTCGAAATAATGAATTTATTCCAAATATTTGCACCATCCTGTATATGATAGCTACTCAAACAACATTTTGATATTAGATTTTATGCGTTTGTGTTTGTTATTGTTTGTTTTGATTTAAATTTTGTGCCATTTGTGTATATTAATTTTTAATCGCTTATTTTTTTTTAATTCAATATACATATTTTTATGAAATTTATACTCTTTTTTTTTTCTAATGATACTTCCTTTTATCACTAAGCTTTGCTTATGCCATTATTGCCACTCCTGTTATTAGATTAATGAATAATAATCATTGTTGCAAGAAATAGATTACACCAAATCCATGTACGAGTACATTGAAATAACGCAAGAATATACATTTATTCAACGAACACACACATTGATACAATAATCAGATTTTACTGGATCTATGTATTAGTTCATTGAAATAGCGCCAGAATATTCATTGGTACAACGAACAAATACATTGATATAATAATCAGATTTTACTGGATCTACGTACTAATTCATTGAAATAACACAAGAATATTCATTGATTCAACGAAAACATATATTGATATAATAATCAGATTTTACTGGATCTATGTACTAATTCATTAAAACAAAGCAAGGATGTTGTTTGATTCTATAAATATGTAGACTGATACAATGAACATACTCGTTGAAGCTATGTCAGAATGTACATAGAACAAATGAACAAATTTATTGATAAAATGAATAAATATCATTATATAAGGGTACCAATTCATTGAAATTAGGAAGTCATATTCATTAAATTCGTGTACTTATTCTTCAAGCTAAAGAACTATAGTTCTTTACGCTAATGTACTTATTTTCGTGATCACAATAAACGTTTATCAGTTAATGTACGAAAATACATTGTATTAATAAAACTGTGCATCGGACGAAAATTAATGTACAATATTTATTAATACAATGTTTTTTTTATTGTATTTACGTACCTTTTTGGTTCAGTGTATTGAGCGACTCGGACTTACATCATCATAGAGGGTTAATTGAGTTGTCTATGGAGTAGTATGAAATTTCTGTTAAGGTTCAAATGAGTGTTGAGACAGAGGATATTGTTGTCTCTTTCAAGGGTAATTTCAACACCGTCATGAAAATCTAATAAGTTGAAATTTTTTGTGTTTAAGTTGACTAATAATTTGGAGTTTTTTGTTGGGCTAAAATTATGTTGATTGAACCTCACGTGATGTCCAAATGCAGATGTGTCCGGCTTCTTGATGTGCTCACATATCCGGACTGGCATCGCAATCGCTGCATTGCAACCTGTATACAGTCTTGTCTAACAAATCCGTTTTGTCTATTGAGTTGACTAGATGAGAGTCTAATTTATTAATTGATTTGAAAGATACTTTAATGTTATCTACGTTGTTAGCAAAAATGTTTGAGATCCTCTTAAAATTCATGTTGCAGATTAATATTTTAAATTGGCAAACGTCATCACATTTCACATAAAATTATTGAATGCAACTGGCTTAATATGAACAATCGGTTTATTATACATCATCTAGGTACCTTTATCAGTATATAGGACAGCAGTGTCATCTGCAAAGCTGATAATTTTTCTAGTAGAAACCGAAGTAAGCATTACGTTAATATAAATTGAAAATAAAATTCATCCCAGGACAGTTCCTTGAGGTAAACCGTAACTAAAAGTTTTTTCTGAATTTGTGATATTATGAATTTTTACTACTTGTAAGCGTTCTGACAAATAGTTTCGAAATAATTCATTGGGTACTCCTCGTATTCCTGCATCCTCCAAGGCCTGTAACATCTGAGTATGACACACAGTATCGAAGGCCTTAGCAAGAATACACATAAAGTTGGGTTACTTTTCTCTAAAAACGTTGAGATGTTATCTACAACCATATAACTAATTATGTAACGCGATGACACGCCCAGGACTTTGTTAAAACCGGCAACGTTGCATGAACGTTACACAAGTTACGGGAGCCACAGCGCCATCAATCGTCAAGCCAAGGAAGAAGGGAAGTTCTGAGTTAAAAATAGAATAATAAAAGTTCTAAAATTATAATTTACGCTTTAAGTGTTCCTACATTAAAACGAAAAACTACTGTGCAAAATAATTTTGAAAGTCTTTGGTTGATTTTATTATGATGATTTGTCCATTTATATTCACATATATTTTTCCATTATTTGTCCATACATTTTTTTAGGGAAGTTTTTTCAATTGCTTCTGACATTAATTTTACTCTCAAATGTGTTAGATCTTCTCTTATAATTACCCCAGTTCCTTTCAAAAGTTTTTTGTTATTATAGATATTTGTTGCAGTTTCATAAAGTTTTAGTTTCAAAAATATTCCTCTTGGTTTTCGGGTTTTTTCCTTTTTTATTAATTCTGTAACATACCTCAACATCTTATGAATACATAGTAACTAATGCCTAATATTTTCAACGGAATAACATACAATTTGTTTGTCATCACTGTCATCAGTAAATAAAGTTAAAATATAATCCTAAACAACAATTGGATTATCTGTTAATACACTTAATACCGACAAAATTAATATCGAAATTAAAAACCACAATCTCCTTTACCTTCATTCGCAACAAAAGCAAAGAAACTGTATTATCATTTTCCGATCCAAGGCCTTAAATAAAACTTCTTTCCCAATAAAAAAAGAAATCAATTACATCTCTTTTGTCCTTTCCAGGGTATGGTGAACAAAGTCGCCGAGGACTCACCGGCATTATTATCCATTGTAAACCAAGCAATAAGCGGCATTTTTAGAAATCCTCAGTCAATCTATCTAACGGACAAAGTGAAGAATATTCTCTTTGATGGGATGGAGCTTGATTGCAAAGGAACAGACTTTGCCGCTAAGGCGGTGTGCACACAACTCAGGACTCTTATACCTGGTATTAAAGAATCCCCAACTGATAAGAACGTATTGTTGTTCTCCTTGTTAGGCACTGTAAGTACTTAATTTAATGTGCGGTAAGAAATTAACTTTTAATATCGTCTTGGATCTTTTTTTAATAGTTACGGATATGAATTTATATTAACGTACATCGGCTTTGGCAAAATATCAACAATATTTCAATTTTAGGTTTCGTTATCAGAAACTCCTGATACATTTATTAAATTTTGGTAATTTTGTTTGATTTTAATTTAAGATAAGAATATTAGTCTTTAAACATTGTTGAGAACATCAATTTATTCCTTAAGATCCCTGGAACTCCTTAAATTGAAGTAATAAAATACATCATCTAAAAGATTCTACAAATGTTTAGATGCTATTGAGTGATTAATGGTAGATATGATCTAATTCCTGAACCATTAACGAAACTAACTAACTTAAAAAAGTTTATGATGTACTGACCGTGGAAAAACTAGGTTTCGAGAAAAACCACCTCTCGAGAAAAAACTTGAGAGAAAATTCCCACTCCAAGAAAAAAGCCTCGAGAGAAAACCAGCTCTCGAGGAAAAAATCTCCAGAAAAAACCACCTCTCGAAAAAACGAGACTTGAGAAAAAACCACCTCTCGAGAAAAAAAGACTCGAGAGAAAACCATCTTTTGAGGAAAAAAGACTTCAGGAAAAACTACCTTTCGAGCAAACAAAAGACTTCAAAGAAAACCACCTCTCGAGGAAAAAAGACTCAAAAGAAAACTACCTTTCGAGAAAAAAAAAGCCTTGAAAGAATACCATCTCTCGAGAAAAAAAGACTCCAGAAAAAACACATTTTGAGAAAAAGAAACTCAAGAGAAATTTAACTCTCGAGGAAAAAAAACTCGAAAGAAAATCACCTCTCGAGGAAAAAAGCCATGAGAAAATACAATCACTTGAGGAAAAAAACTCCAAAAAAATCACTTTTCAAGGAAAAGAGATTTGGGAGAAAACCTCTCGAGGAAAAACCTCCTCTCGAGGAAAAATCTATCGAAGAAAAAAAACCTCGAGAGAAATCCAACTCTCGAGGAAAACAGACTCTAAAGAATAATGATGAAACCACCTCTCAAAGAAAAAGACCTTGAGAGAATACCATCTCTTGAGAAAAAATACTCCAAAAAAACACCTCTCGAGCAAAACGGGACTTGAGAGAAAACCATCTCTCAAGGAAAAGGGACTTTTGAGAAAACCACCTCTCGAGAAAAAGATACTTGAGAGAAAACCACCTCTCAAAAAAAAACCTCCTCTTAAAGAAAAACCTCTTCTCAAGGAAAACCCTCCTTTTGAGGAAAAAATTCGAGAAAAATTCAACTCTCAAGGAAAAGACTAAAAAACCATCTCCCGAGAAAAAAGTCTTGAGAGAATACCATCTCAATAAAAAAAGACTGCAGAAAAAACCACCTCCCGAGGAAAACAGAATTATGATAAACTTCTCGAGGAAAACTTTCTCTCGAGGAAAAACCTCCTCTTGAGGAAAAAAAAACTCGAGAAAAATCCAAGACTCCAGAAAAACCACCTTTCAAGGAAAAGGGACATGAGAGAAAACCATCTCAAGAAAAAAAGACTGCAGAAAAAACCACCTCCCGAGGAAAACAGAATTAAGATAAACTTGCCGAGGAAAAACTTTCTCTCGAGGAAAACCTCCTCTTGAGGAAAAAAAAAAACTCGAGAAAAATCCAAGACTCCAGAAAAACCACCTTTCAAGGAAAAGGGACTTGAGAGAAAACCACCTCTCCAGGAAAAGATACTTGAGAGAAAACCACCTCCCAAAGAAAAACCTCCTTTCGAGGAAAAACCTTCTCTTGAGAAAAAACTCGAGATAAATCCAATTCTCTAGGAAAAAAGACTCGAAAGAAAACCACCTCCCGAGAAAAAAGTCTTGAGAGAATACCATCTCTCAAGAAAAAAAGACTCCAGAAAAAAACCACTTCCGAGGAAAACAGAGTTAAGATAAAACTACCTCTCGAGGAAAAACCACCTTTCAAAGAAAAAAATTGAAAAAACCCAACTTTTAAGGAAAACAGACTCGAAAGAAAACCATCTTTCAAAGAAAAAACCTTGAGAGATTACCATCTCTTGAGAAAAAGACCCGAAGAAAACCACCTCTCGAGGAAAAGGGACTTGAGAGAATACCACCTCTCGAGGAAAAAACTCGAAAGAAATCAAGATCGCGATGAAAAAACTTTTGAACGAAAACCACCTCTAGAGAAAAAATCCTTGAAAGAATACCATCTCTCGAGAGAAAGACTCCAGAAAAAATCACCTTTTGAGGAAAAGAAACTCGAAAAAATTCATCTCTCGAGGAAAAAAGACTCGAAAGAAAACCACCTCTTAGGAAAAAAAGCCATGCGAGAATAACATCTCTCAAGAAAAAAAAGAATTCAATAAAACTAGCACTCGAGAAAAAGAGACGAGACCTCTCGAGGAAAATCACCTATCAAAAAAGGAAAAAATTGGAAAAATGCCCATTTACATATAGCACCAATTATAATTTCACTAGTATCCAAATAATCTGGACTTGCAAGTATTGAACTGGTAGTAAGCATCTTCTTAATCTAAAAAAAAGCAGTATCAGCTCCCGGTGTCCATACTACAGATTGTCCTCTTTTTTTATTTCGAGAAATATGGGTGCTAATAATGTCATATCATTCAAAAAGTTCATACTCTGAGCGCCAGAGAATCAATGGCCGCTTTTAGCATGGTTGCAAGTCCAGGCTTCATTTTTTCATCCAAAATCGATGGATGGATGGATGGATGGATGGATGTATGTATGACCTTGATAAAGGTTTCTTGACAAGTGCTGTGTATTGTGTTGTCTTGAACAATCGTCCGGAAACACTACATTTTAAGATTAATAGTATAAGTACGAAAGTCTTGATTCTCAGACACTTTTTAATTCATTTTGCATTTATTTTGATTTCGTTGTTTTGGTAAAATAATTCAAATACCTACGTATTATGTTTTTCTTTATGTTGAGTAATATTTTTATTTTTTTTATCCATTCAAATTTGTAATATTCTTTTTTTTTTTGCAAATTTAACTGTCCTATTTTCAAGGTAGCTTCATTCTCTTGATTAGGAGCATTAATATCTAAACTAAACCCCAAAAATCTATAAAACAGGGTTCCTATCACTGTCTCTAAACACTGATTATTTTTTTATTTAGTGTTTATATGCTAAATTTGATTTCTCTTTTTTTATATTGATCTTCGTTTGCCATTTTTAGAGAAATGCAACTGTTGCTAGCACTATTAAAATTATGAGAGGAATAAAAAATTATAAAGATCTAGGACGAGTTTTGGAAGTGGATGGTGAGAAACATATTACCTTATGGGGATCAGACAAATGTAATCGTTTTCAAGGAACTGATGGATGGATTATACCACCTTTACTCGATCCTGCAGATGGAATTCATGCTTTCACTACACAATTATGCAGGTAAAGTTTTAAAACAATTCTTTCTCGGTCATAACCAGCTTTAAAAACATTTTTTTGTTGTTTTTATTTTGTAGAAACATCGAACTCAACTACGTGAAAGACGTTGTAATAAAAGGCATAAACGTACGTAGATACGAAGGCAATTTAGGCGATCAAACAAACAACGAAGATGACAAATGTTACTGCGCGTCGCCTAAAAAATGTCTTAGAAAAGGCCTTTTTGATTTAAATAAATGTATGGGAGCTCCGATTCTGGCTAGCTTACCTCATTTTTTGTACGGCGATGAGAGCCTTCAAAATGAAGTGCAAGGATTGAATCCTAATCCGAATGATCACGTTTTAAATATTAACATAGAACCTGTAAGTATACAAAACTATATCGTTGGTGAACAGGAATAGTGACACAACTCAAAAATTTCCTTTTGTAAAACTTATTGTGGAAATGTATTTAAAGTAGCACAAATCTAGTTGCGCTCCGATAGTCAGTTAGATGATATTGTCAATTTTTGGCTAGAGTGACACAAATCAAAACATGCCAGTTCTATTAAAAATAAACTAAGAACATAATCTTCAGCAGTGACTCAAGTAAATTAAGTAAACAACTCGAAAATTTTCATATGTAAAATTAATGTAAAAATTTATATAAAAAACACTCAGAACGAGAAACTGTTACTTCTAAGAAATTACCGTGCACAGGAATAATGACAGAAAATTATTTGTAAACTTATTGTTAAAGTGTAAGTATATAAAAGTCCGTTAGAACGAGTTATTGCTACTTCCAAAAAAATAGCTGTGCACAGGAATAGTGACGCAATTCAAAATTAATAATTTGCGAAAATATTGTAAACATGTATATAAATATCTGGAAGAACGACATATTGCTATTTCAAAAAATTACCGTAGAAATAGTGACACAATTCAAAATTTTCCATTTGTAAACTTATTTTAAAAGTATATATAAAAATTCGTTAGAATGAGATGCTGCTACTTTCGAAAACATTACCGTGCCCATGAATAGTGACACAACTCAAAATTTACATTGTCGATCGTATTGAGTAAATGTATATTAAAAATAAGAAAGAATGAGATATTGCTACTTCCAAAAAATTACCGCAGACAGTATTATTGACACAACTCAAAATTTTTATTTACTGAACTATTTGTGAAACTGTTGATAAAAATAAGGAATTATGAGATATTGCTACCTCAAAAAAATTACCGTGTACAAGAATAGTGACACAATTACAAATTTTCCATTTGTGAATGTATTGTAAAAGTATATAAAAATCCGTTAGAACGAAACATTGCTACTTTAAAAAAATTACCGTGCACAGGAATAATGACAAAACTCAAAATTTTCCATTCGTAAACTTATTGTGAAAATAAATAAAAAAAATCCTAAAGAACGAAATATTTGTACTTTCAAAAAATGACCGTGTACAGGAATAGTGACACAATTCAAAATATTCACAATATTCGTGCTTATTGTTAAAATTTGCATATTTTTGTACTACTTCCCAAAATGAATGCTGGAATGAGATTATGTTGTTCTTCCTGTACTACAAATTCGCGAGTTAATGGTGATTAAAAATGATACATATCTGGTTGTGCTCAGACAGTAAGATGATATCGTTAATTTTGGGCTAGAGTAACACTATTGTGAAAGTGTAGATATATGAAAGTACGTTAGAACGAGATATTGCTACTTTCAAAAAAATAACCGTGCACAGGAATAGTGACGCAACTCAAAATTATTAATTTGCGAAAATATTGTAAACATGTATATAAATATCTGGAAGAACGGCATACTTCAAAAAATTACTGCAGAAATAGTGACACAATTCAAAATTTTTCATTTGTTAACTTAATATACAAGAAATAAAAATCCGTTAAAACGAGATGTTGCTACTTTCACAAACATTACTGTGCACAGAAATAGTGACACATCTCAAAAATATGCATTATCGATCTTATTGTGTAAATGTATAGTAAAAAAAAAGAATGATGTATTGTTACTTTTAAAAAATTACCGTGGACAGTATGAATGACACAACTCAAAATTTTTAAATCGTCAAATAATTATGAAAATATTTATAAAAAACCTCAAATAAATTACCGTGCACAAGAATGGTGACACAATTCAAAATTTTCCATTCGTCATTTTATTGCGAGAGTATATAAAAATATTTGTACTTTCAAAAATAACCGTGTACATGAATAGTGACACAACTCAAAATATTCTCGTTAAAATTTATATCCTAATTTGCATATTTTTATACTACTTCCAAAACTGACACAAATCTGGTAGTGCTCAGACAGCCAGTAATATAATATCGTCAATTTTGGGGTATAGTGACACAAATCAAAATATACCAGTTTTAATTAAAATAAATTAGCATTGACTTAAGTTAAATTAGTAAACTATTTCGTTGGTACACAGGAATAGTAACAACTAATGTGTTAAATTATTGTGAAAATATATATAAAAATCCGGAAAAACGAACTATTGCTAGTTCAAAAGAATAACCGTTCACAGGAATAGTGACACAATTGAAAATTTTATATTCGTGAACTTGTGAAAATGTATATAACAATCAGAAACTAATTATTAGGAATGTTTCATTTGTGTCACTTCTACCCGGATAACCGAAATATTGTTACTTCTAAAAATTTATCGTGCACAGAAATAGTGACACAACTCAAAATTTTCTATTCGTAGACGTATAATGAAAATGTATATAAAAATCTGGAAGAACAACATGTTGCTACTTTAAAATATGGCCACAGGAATTGTGACAGTACTCAAAATTTTTTATTTATGAAAGTGTATATAAAAATCTGTTAGAACGAGATATTGCTACTTTCAAAAATAATGCAAAAAAATTTTTTCATTAATTCCTGAACTTATTGTAAAAATCTATATAAAAATCCTGTGTACAGGAATATTGACACAACTCAGAATTTCCCATTTCAGTGCTTATTGTGAAAATATGTATCTTAATTTGCATATTTTCAAGCTACTTCTAAAAATCTAAAAATCACGAGTTTAGGACGGCTAAAATGGCATAAATCTAGTTAATGAGACAAGATTGTTGATTTTTGCGACTAGAGAGACGCAAATCAAAATATCCCGCTTTAATTAAAATAAATTAAAAACCCTAATTTTAACAGTGACGCAAATCACATCAGAACATTATCAGTATGTTGTAAAATATACTTTTATGGAATATCGTCATAATACAAAAGATAAAATAGACAAAAACAATAATATATTAATTACCAAGTAAATTTAAACCTTTCCAAAATGCAAGATCATAAATCGAGAAATTTTAAAACCGATTTCTTCGAAAATTTAATTTTTGGAGTTGTGTCACTATTCTTGTGAAGCAACGAAATAAATAATAAGTAGAGTATCCATACAATTTTTAACCTAATGTGGATATAAATACAAATTTTAAAAAATTAATAAATATTTATCAATTTTAAAAATATTTTAGATGACAAGCGCACCTTTAAGCGTAAGAATAAGAATCCAAATGAGTTTGGAGATAGGCCCTCAATCCAAGATCAGCGTAATGAAAAACTTACCGGTTGCTGTGCATCCCATGTTTTGGCTTGAAGATGTAAGTACCATACTCTTTTATTTATATTCTTTTTTGAATTGATATTACATCTTCTATACACTCATTTAATACAATTAACTTAGTTTATGGAAAAGTGACCCAACTCAAAATTCGATAAATTTGAACTAACCCCTTTAATAAACCAAATATATCTGATAAAATAGATGCAGTTGCCAAGTGTAGATGGCGTTACCATTTTCACTTCCTGACATTTTATTCTTTCTTAACCCACCACCAATGTATATGAGTAAATGCAACAAATCTAGTAGACTGCATTAGAGACTAGAGTCGAGATTCTATATTTCTTGCTGATGAGTCCTAATAAGGACGAAACCGGTGTAAGAATGCAGTTATAGTAAGCAAAATCAAAGTTGGATAAGATTTAAATTAAACTAATATAAATATAAAATATGTAGTAAAAATATCGTAAGGAATCTGTAAATTTTATATTATGTCCAGGGGTAGCTAGTGACTAAAATTTTGGGGGTTCACAGTAGCATAATATAGATGCCGGTACAGATATAGATAAAAAACTGTCAGTGTTTTAGAAAGGTATATTGCAAACTTTCTTTTTTCTGTACTGATATCTATATTCAGTCACTGTGAACTCCCAAAATTTTGGTCACGAGCCGCCACTCATTATGTTATTCTCCTTGTTTTCCTTTGAGCTTTTTTATACTAAAAATATATTTTGTTTTAAGGGTCTCGATCTGGAAGGACCTTTATACACCAAAATCTCTAATATATTCATCCTTCTCAAGATGGCGCACGTAATTCGATGGGTATTTCTTGTCGTTGCCTTTACGATGATTGGTTACGGATATTATCTCTATTTCAAAAACAAGAAAAGCGTCAAAATCACACCAGTACACAGCAGTACCTCGGAAAAGGACAACGAAGGATTCAGCAGAAGTACCAACGATCTTATGGTGCAGTTAAGGAACGAAATGAGTAATGAAAGAAATGGATATAATATTAGTAATAATAACAATAATAATAATAAAAATATTATGAGTGGTCACGAGTTTGATAGATATGGTTAAAATAAGTAAATAAATATCTTTGTTGTTAAAACAAATTGGTTATATATTTTTAAATAGTTTTGATGTAATATTTATTTATTCTATTTTATTTTATTTTGCAAAGTTATCAAGTACCTCGCAGTCTTCAAATAGCGATTTAAAGATGCAAATTAAAGAGTGAGCCGAGATTAATTTGATTTAGCAGTTATAAAATTTTTTATAACCATTAAAAGTTTCTGAATTTAACAAGCGCCAGTGTAGCTTCCTTTTTAAACAGTTAACTCCCATTATACGTATCAATCAGTACTGGCACTCTAAGGCGGCACGTTTGATCTTTAAAAGTAGAAATTTTAGTTGACACTTGACGTTTTCAGGATATGAAAAGTTTTCTTTACACGGACTTGGTTATACCTGGTTAGTTGAATTTTTGTTCTGCTGCTTTTCAAATTCGTGTGTATGAGCGAGATGTGAGATACTTTTATAGAGACAACGGTTGAACAAGTTAACTACTTTCAAGAAGAAAATCGATTAGATATCAGGGCAGTCTTCACAAATGTAAAAAAGGACAGAACCGTTTTAAAAATTATTTATGTACCTATGTGATTGAGAAACTGAAATATTACTTTTTAGTAAAAAGTTTAATTAGAGATTAAACGACTTACCTGTAAGGAAGTTCAATCTGAATTATACGAGTAACCACATCTAAGTAGACCAAGAACAATTTGTAGTTTCGCCTTTGGTGCGATATCAAACCACTGTTTAAAATCAGCAAAAAAAATGTTTTTCTACTACCGTGCGTAAAGTACGTACTTTACGCACTCCACGAAGTGTGTAAAGTTGTACTTTTTTTCACTAGTGCGTAAAGTAAAACTCTTTACGCACTAGTTAAAAAAAGTAAAATTTGACAAAATTTGTACATAACAACAAAATATAACGTTTTATTTTATATTAACATTTTTTTTGCTACCTCCTTCTAAGACAAATAAATAAATTATTTTTGCTTATATCTATTTAGTGTCCAACAAATTATCAACAGTTTATTTTAATTATAATTTTCTCTAAATGTCATCGATCCAAAAAACATGGAGGATGGAAATCATCTGCTGTTGCAAAAGGCTACGTAGACAGCACAATAACACAAAAAAACAAAATTTCTAATAAAATTTTGATGGAGACAGTATGCCATCCACTTCCAAACAAAGCTACAATTTTACCGTTGATAACTCTAATGAAGAATTAGTGGAACCACTCGACAGTGAAACTAGAGTTACACAAAATATTTCAACCTCTTTACTTGAAAAGGCCAAATCCATACCACTCGAAGCTCAAAATAGGGTTACAGAAGTAATATCACAACATTTTTCAAACTCTGTGCTGGAAAAGGCCAAAACCTTAAGTTTTGGTAATTGCAATAATTGCACATTCAATATTAATATTCATAAGAGTTAAAAACCTATTTTTTTAAATATTTCTTCATTTGTTAGTCATTTTGTTCTGTAAAAATTATAAATTTGTAAAGTTCCAATAAATTTATTTTTGTTGCTGTGTACAATTTTTGGCATATTTTACTTTTTTCACTAGTGCGTAAAGTAAAGTACTTTTTTTCACTAGTGAATATTAGTGGATTATGTGTACGGTAGTAGAAAAAATATTGTATGCCACTCGTGTGTAAAGTCCCTTTTTTTTACTTTGTTTTTATGTTGTTTATATTCTTCAGTTAATTGTAAATTATTTGGGTTTTTATTTAGTTTTTCATGCAATTTATTTTTCTTATTTATAGATCTAAGTAAAGAAGACGTTAACCAAGGTGCTATTTTATTGTTTTTACGTTTTGTTTTTCTTTTATTTGTGCAAAGATTAATACCATTTTGTATTATTTTAATGAATTTATTAGCTGCTGTATCGGAATCTTCTGCCTCAGGCACTGGAGTACAATTTAGGTCTTTAAAAATATTATGCATTTTATGTTGGTTAATAAAAGTGGAATATCTGTTTACGGTTTGATTTATCTCCTTTTCCTTAAATATAACCTGTACTATGGTTAAGTAATGATCAGTAATATGGTTTTTTACTACAATCGGTATAATATTATCAAATATATCCAATTTGCACTTTAAGAAAATATGATTTATGCAAGACTTTGACTTACCTCTTACCCTAGTTGGATTATTAATAGTAGATACAAATCCAAATTTGCTTAAGGTATTTAAATATTCCATACATATACGCTTATTTGGTTTTACCAAATCTATGTTTAGATCGCCTACAAAAAAAGAAAGATCATAATCGTCACTAGCAAGGTTCTTCCAAAAAGAAGTATAAATTTTCGACAAAGCTAAAGGCATCCGAATTTGGTGACTTATAAACCAAAGAGACCTACACTTTATAAGAATCACCTATCTCTATTTTTGTGTTATTTATTTTTAAATTGTTCATTATTTCTTTATTTTCGTAAGTATAGTTATATTTGGATTTAATGGAAATAGCTACTCCATCGTTTTGATTAAAACGACTATTGTTAAAAATTAAGTCATAACCTGATAGATTATGTGGACTTAGATCAACCATTTCTCTTGTCTCTATTAAAATTATAGTCTATGTTAAAATCTATTTCCTGCAAAAAAAAGTTTAAATTCATCGAGGTTTTTACCAATTCTGCAGATATTTAAATATAGAATTTTAAAGTTAACATTTTCGTTATTGACATTTAGGACTTTATTAAGTTCAACTTCATTATCTAAATCATAGGTCTGAATAGTTTTAATCTCAAAATCAGGAATATACTGATCCATTATGTGTTATTAAATTTTTTTTAAAAATTAGATATAAAACTTAACGCTATGGCTATAAATAAAATTTAAAAATTTTTGATATAGCAAATCAACGTTAAAGATTAAAAAATTTAAAAGGATAATACGAGATTGTAAATCAAATTTAAAACCTAAGGACATTTAAAAATAATTTGATATTTACACATAAGTAATTTATTTTTTGGTTTTACTTAATTTTGTAATTGGAGCCACAACTAGTTTTCTTCCTGGTGTCTCGCAGTTTGAATTACTTCTAAGCTTCTGTAGGATAGTTGAGTTTTGTTTTACAATCCCTATCTTTTTCGGTTTTCCTTTAGGTTTTTGAATTGCTATTTGATTTGAGTTGTTCCTCTTCACTTTTTTTTTCTCTTCTAGTTTTTCGTCACTTCTTCAACAAATTCTTTATGGGAAGGAGTGGGGGGCTCGCTATGTATTTTCCTAATTGGTATATTATCAAACAACTGAGCATCAGTAATAGTTTTTTCTATATCACTTGCAGTGTATTCAACTCCTTCTATTATTATTTTATTTCTTCTAAGTTTTGCGTTTTGATTATTATTTCTAGCTTCTTTTAGTACAACTACTAGTACTTTTCTCTCTTTTAACTCAATTTTGGTAAGATCTTCACTAATAATTATATTTATTCCTTTAAGATTTTTTGCATTAATTAATATTCCGGTTTTTATTAAATTTGTTACGAGTGATAAAAGCAGTGATCTAGTTTTTTGAGATTTTCGACCTATTCTATAAATATTATTAATATCCCTTTGATTCAGGGGTACGCCTATTTGGTTGTTAATTACTTTTAATACCTGTTGTGCTAAAATTTACTTATTTTTAATATTCTTTTCTGGAATTCCGTAAAATACCAAGTTATTTTCCTTAAATTTTCTTTTTTGTCTTTCTAACTTGACTTTTAGGATGTTGTTTTCTTCCTCAAGTGATTTAACATTTTCTTTCAAGTTTTGATTTTCTATATGAATTGCAGTTGTTAAAGACTGTGATGTGATTTCTAGGTTTTCTATACGTTCCGTTAGATCCTGCTTTAGGCTTTTAATAAAATATGTGTGACAATGCAATATATACACGTATGCAACAATTACAACACAAAATAAAAACGTACTACTTCCGGGTAGCTAAATAATTGTTTATTGGGAGGAAGGTTGGTCTATTCAGAACGTGATTACTCGTATAAGTCGTTTAATCTTTAATTATACTTCGTAACCACGTCTTTATAGACCAAGATCAATTTGTAGTTGTTTAAAGATACAAGTTTTTATTTTGGAAAGAAAATGTATTTTCCAAATACATTGAAAATAACACAATCCAACCAGTAATTAATAATTAGAATTAACAAAAATAAATTACAAACAAATGAAATATTTTTATTATTCCCTTCTAGAAGGTTTCTTGCATAAGAAGTACTTTTAATCAGTGGAATGTATTACAGAAACTACTTTGATAAAACAAAAGTTTGTATATGTGTACGAAATATGGGTTGCCTGCGCACTAGCGATTGTTTAACCGGATTTATGACAAATGATAGATTATTTCCAGAAAACGTCAGCGCGTAACAGCTGGGCGACTTTTTCCCACCCAGGAAGTGCCATTACTGCTAGAATACTTATACTGGGGTTAAATAATTATCATTTCATCTTTATATTATTGACATTTTAAAAATACAACTTTTTTGATAAACAGTTAACTTGCTTTATTGTTGTTAATAGAAATTTGTATAAAAATAAAATGTTGGATGTATAAAAAATTATCTGGTATATTAATATCATTAATATTAATTGTATTTTTAAAAGAAATCTACATATAATTACAACACACAATTTATAACTGTTAAATATGAAGTAAATATCTAAATTTGATTTAGAATTGTTAGGTTTGTTGATCCAATATTACTCTAAGTTTCTTAAAATTCTCTGATTGTATTTAATAGACAGAGCAGTCTATATTTACCATGCCCCTCCAGTTTTTGGTTAACTTCTACCTGACAAGATCCAAAAGGAACTTTGTTAGATTTAAATCAGTTATCAACATTGTGGTTTGAAGTATCACCTGTTATGAAATTTTATTTGTTATTGCATTTTTTTTATTATTTGATTTATCATTAAATAAAAGTAAATGTTGAAATAAGTAATCTACTTTTTAATTGTATTGTTATCATTACGTAGATTTTTTATAAGGGCAATACTTTATATGTTAGTGTTGTGTCATGAAAAAAAAAGAAGAACTTACACATATCTGTAAATTTCTGTATTTTCTGTATGACTATTAAATAAAATATCTGTTATTTCTATGTTTTTTAGTTAATTATGGTTTACATTAATGACTCATTTAATTGCCTACATTTAAAATATACCTGGTAACCAAGAAAAGGACGCCGTCATATCTAAGAAGCAGTATATCTTAAAAAATTGGTCACTAGAAATCATTGGACATTATTTTTAAGTTCCTACTTTCGCCACCAGCTTAAAACCTATGTAAAAAACTGTTTATTTCGTACAGACAAATGTCAAATTAATCTATGTGAGATATCAAAATCGTTTTCTCTTGGGAACAAACCTTTTACAAAACAACACACTAAATAAACTCACTCCTACCTCTAGCGGTTAAGGTACGAACTTTTTATTCGCTATGACTCTAGTGACAGCTGCTGATCAAATAAGCTTTTATACGCGCCTTCATTACTGCATAGTAGTTTCAAATTTTAAAAAATTGTACATTGTAACCGGTATAAAGTTTAGTAAATACGTTTTTTAAAGAAGGGATGTGTCACCCCAACATAATAGGTTATCTTACTTCTATTTAGAGATGACATAATTTTGGTTTTTCTTTATTACAAAATCTGAAATAGTAACCGATAAGTTTTAAAAACTAGGGTTTATTATAACCAAATTTTACTAGTCTTTTAATCATTAATGAAGTTAAAAATAAAAACTTCTTTTGCCCTTTTCGTTGATTAGTATTTTTATTACTGGAAATTAGGTCAAAACTTATTATTACTTCGCTTATTACCTGCTTCAGAAATATTCCAAAAATCGACTAAATTAACTGTTTTCGTCCGTTGTTTGGCCATATTCCAATTACTATACGCGAAACATAGAAACAAAAACTCTCTGGCATCCGCTTGAACACTTTATTATTTTGTTTTTAGATGTTTTTGACTTTTCAACATTTACTGAAGCCATTTAGGTGAATTTGTTTGCTCCATTATTCGCAGTTCCATTCTTTATGAGCCCAGTTGGTTTACAAATCTCCCAGGCATGTGGGAAGTTTGGTGAAAACTGACAGTTATTTCTATAATGTTTTATGGTTTTATCTGTAGATCGTGTATTTTTAAATTTATTGTAATATAAACCAATCAGAATTTTTCTATCCTAACACGTAGATAAAGAAATTCAGTTAATGAATCATCCCGTATTAGAGTGTCTAATTTACAATATCGGGTGTAGAACCTGATAACTGACAACACCAAATATTTAGAGAAAGTGATATTAGTTTCGAAAAAAAAAATAATTTTAGAGGTGAATACGTGTTTTTCAGTTCATCACAGCATAAAAACCCTAGGTAATATTTTTTGGTTTAACAAAAATCAACATTAAGAACGTCATTGTCGCCTACTCACCATATTTTACATTAAAAAAAGACATGCAATTTTACTAAGAATTTACTAAAAATATGCTAAGAATATACGAAGAAAATACTAAGAATATACTAAGAATATACTAAGAATATACTAAGAATATACTAAGAATATACTAAGAATATACTAAGAATATACTAAGAATATACTAAGAATATACTAAGAATATACTAAGAATATACTAAGAATATACTAAGAATATACTAAGAATATACTAAGAATATACTAAGAATATACTAAGAATATACTAAGAATATACTAAGAATATACTAAGAATATACTAAGAATATACTAAGAATATACTAAGAATATACTAAGAATATACTAAGAATATACTAAGAATATACTAAGAATATACTAAGAATATACTAAGAATATACTAAGAATATACTAAGAATATACTAAGAATATACTAAGAATATACTAAGAATATACTAAGAATATACTAAGAATATACTAAGAATATACTAAGAATATACTAAGAATATACTAAGAATATACTAAGAATATACTAAGAATATACTAAGAATATACTAAGAATATACTAAGAATATACTAAGAATATATTAAGAATATACTAAGAATATACTAAGAATATACTAAGAATATACTAAGAATATACTAAGAATATACTAAGAATATACTAAGAATATACTAAGAATATACTAAGAATATACTAAGAATATACTAAGAATATACTAAGAATATACTAAGAATATACTAAGAATATACTAAGAATATACTAAGAATATACTAAGAATATACTAAGAATATACTAAGAATATACTAAGAATATACTAAGAATATACTAAGAATATACTAAGAATATACTAAGAATATACTAAGAATATACTAAGAATATACAGACATTAATAATTTATTAATTAAAACAGCAATACACACGTAAATTTTTAAAATAACTATGTAGATTGGCTCTTAAACATTATTAGAAAACCTATCTTGTACGCACCTATAGTCTATTTTTATGTATGAGAGAATAATAAAACAGCATTTCTAATGCAAAACTTAGTACGGACATTTTAAATATTTTTACAGAATAATCTAAATATTTCCTAAAATTGTAATAAATGTACCTGAGCTATTACAAGTTTTGGGTCTTTTATTGGTCCTTTATAAACATAAGCTGTACAGAACAATAGAACAATAGAATCGACAGGCCAAAAGCCCTGTGTATTAAAGATTACATAGCCGTATCTTAAGATTATTTTCAATAAGTACCTATTTGCCAATTTTGTTTTATTTTAATTCCAAGAATTTCTTACAGTAATCGAATTATAAGTAGATAAATACCTTTCCAACAAATTTCACCGAAAATGCGATTATAGGTTTTCCATTTAGTAAGAAGGTCCAAGTTATGTATTCTTGACAGTTTACTAAATGTCGTTTAGTTGCAACTTGCAAGGTGCAGTGTGAATTCTAGTGTGATCATGGAACATTTGGAAGGGCTGCGTAAACGACAAAAAATCGGTCCTTTAACAGTTAATGAAAATACATTATTATTTAATTGTTTTAAATCATTTACAGACAAACATTTATGTAAAAGTGTTGATGACGCAGTGGAATTAGTTAGTAGTACGCTTGGTGTTGGGAAATCTACGATTTACAGAGTTGTAAAAGATGAGAAATGTGGCGAGTTTCAAACAGCACGTAAAGCTCCAGGAAAACCAAAATTTCAATTAGAAAATCTTTTGAAAGAAAGACTTTTAAGGAAAGTGCATGCGTTCTTCTTTAGAAAAGAATTTCCGACAGTAGACAAAGTTCTTGCCACGGTTCGAGATGATAAGGATTACCCTGAAATGAGTAGAAGCACAATATGCAAACTTTTAAAAGAAATAGGTTTTCTATGGAAAAAGCATTCCAGAAAGTCTATTTTAATAGAAAGAAGCGATATTGTAGTATGGAGAAGAAATTACCTAAGGACTATAAAAAAAATGAGAAACCAAAGAAGAAATATATTTTATTTAGATGAAACATGGATCAACGAGGGACATAAACCAAATAAATTTTGGCAAGATGAAACTGTTACAAGTCGAAGACAGGCTTTTTTAAATAATTTATCTACTGGTTTAAATCCACCATCAGGAAAGGGGCGCAGACTAATATCGGTAGTTCAAACGGTTTTGTTAAAGGTGGTTTATTGACTTTTGAATCTACTCGTACCGGTGTCTACCATGAGGACATGAATGCTGATGTCTTTAAAGAGTAGTTCGAACAAATTATAGATCTTCTTTCTCAGAACTGTATAATAGTAATGGATAATGCAAGTTATCACTCGAGACTTATAGAAAAAATGCCCACTACCAAGTGGTTAAAAAAAGATTTATAGAATTGGCTAAATTCAAAGAATATTAAGTTCCATCCCGGTTCTGTGAGAAAAGAACTGTATCATTTGTGTTCCCTTCATAAAGAGAAATTCAAAAAATATGAAATTGATGAAACTGCAAAAAATCGTGGGATGACGGTGGTTAGATCACCACCATATCATTGCGAAGTAAACCCGATTGAACTGATATGGGCACAGATAAAGGGAGAAGTTTTAAGAAAAAATAATTCTTTTAAAATGAGTGATGTTAAACAGTTGTTTTTGGAGGCTGTAAATAATGTGGAGCCTGAAAACTGCAGTAAATCATACGATTAAAGAATAAGAGAAAATGTGGAAGTTCGACAATATTACTGATGAAATGATCGAGCCACTCATTGTAAATATTGGTTGCGACAGTTCATCTTCTGATTTCGATTCTGATTTGGATTTGTAGGTAAGAAGTAGTTTTTATATTAAAATTATTATTTATGAACGTAACGTTGTTTAAAAGTCAAAGTTTAAACCCTTATACCTACATAACCCGTTTGACACAATGTTCTTAACATACCTTGTGGAAAAATAAAACATTTTAGAAAAAATTGCACTTTTTTTACCTTCAGCTGTTTAGAAGTTATAAGCAGGTTAATTAGGTGAAAAATATAAGTGTATACTCGAGGAATAACTTCAAAAAATATTTTAACTGTCTACTAAAAGAAGTGGTACGCCTATGGATTACGAACGCTTTATTATTTTAATACTCTCTCATACATAAAAATAGACTATAATAAGTACCTAAACAAGAAGTACCTATACACCATTAGAATAGACGTAAAAATATGATAAGTAAAACATAACCTTACTTATCAATATTGCCAGCGTAACCTTACCAAACTAACCGAACCTAGAAGTGCTCCCGACCTTGCCTTGATGCCAAATTTGCCGTGGATGCCGTGTTGCCAACCTATCAAAGCTACCGCTTGATGAATACTAGACAAGAATAATAAATATAGCAATATATTATTGGAAAGCTAGTAAAAATACTATTCCCATCTCTAAAATAGTTATATATCTTAAGTGAAGCACAATTTAAGTTATATACATTTTTTTTATTATAGAACAATTCTGTACACGTCTTCTAATTGGAAAAACATTTTTTTATATAGATTCTAAATTAGATTTAAATTCCACCTTATCCGATTGATATTATCTTATTTTTCTTTTTATATAGACAATATAAATATTTTTTTACATATATAGTACGCAGTATTTACTTGATAATAGTAAAAAGCATTTTGTTAATATTTGAACGTTTTATATCCAGCTACTTTTCTAATATTGTTCTATTTAAAATTTTTATTTAAACATTGGATTATTTTATATAAAAATCATTCCGGGCTACGTCATAGATATCATTGTATTTGAAAAATAAAATCCTATTTAAATATTTGAATTAAACAGTTTTCTCATTATGAATTATATCATTAATTTCATTTTATATAAAAACAGTTATTGTTCTGTTTAACTACAAAGAAGTTCTTTTTAAATAATATCGATGCATACTATTTGGTCAATGTTTTGTGTTTATATTAAATAATAGGAGTTCGTCAAATTTAAATAACAATGGATCACAGTGATGCTGTAAAAAGGATTCAAAATCCGAGAGAAAATGCAAATCCATTATCCTTAATTACATTTTTGTAAGTATCTATTAAGTTTATGTCAATATGATCATTTTCAAGTTAACTTGAGTTCTACTTAACACTGTTGTTTCTAAAGTGGCGCTGGGAAACAATACCAAGGTTGTCTACAGGAGTACAGGAGTATTAGAGTAGTAGATTTCCTGTACTATAGAGTATTTGGCTGCTAGTACTCCATAATTTACATAGAACAAGTTATTGAAGACGAAGACATCAATGAAAAACCTTTTAGACATAATGCCATTCCATATTTGAGTAAGCTCATTTTAAAAATTATTGAGGGGTTAGAATAGTTTACAGCGTTGCTGTAATTATCCATCTATGGTGGTAGAGTGTGTTCCATTAGTAAAAAGTACCGCTGTGTTATAGAAATATACAAGAGAGTATCATTACATGGATAAGTATATTTTGTTTGACTGCATTTATTCAAAATAGTCATAAACAGATTCCTGTAGAAGATGAAATGTCTATGAAGATGAATTAGTTGTAGTTTTCAACATAGATAGACGTGTTTTAAATCGCTCTGAAAGTTTTTATCAATTTATTGTGTTACCCAGTGGCGTATCCATTTCATTTTAAACTGGATACAATTGCCTGAGTAATTCTCATAACCTAAGGTCTTGCAATAGTACTCAAGGTTGTAGATATTGTTCTTCAAAAACTCATCGCAACTTGCTACATTTACATTCGCAAATATCTCAAATACCCGCTATTTAGACCACTTGTCACCTGCTTGATCTAAATCTATACCAAATTATCGATGTTCTTGATAATCGAGGAGTTTATACCGCTCATATCGCTGCTTACTAGACACAGAAAGTATAAGTTTCCAAACGAGCTACTAAGAGTCTTAGGCCGAGCGCAAGTTGAGACGCAGTTTGGTGAGTTGAGGTGAGGTGACTCACGATAATTACAAATGGAGTTACTTCACCCTGGTGCGAACATTTACAGTTGCATTCATTTCTGTGTTTTACAGAAACTCCCAGTGAGTCACATCACCAAACTGCGTCTCAACTTGCGCTAGGGCTAAATGTTGTTTAAACCGAGTTATCCGTAGATATTAGAGGTTTAGACTCAATGATATCTCCAATTGACACCACCAGCTTAGGGGTAGCGTGCAAACCCGTAAATCTTTTAGTACCTAAAATATTTCTATCGTTAATCAAATATGTGATACTCTTCCTGGTTCTACACTACCCATTAATAATTGGTTTAGGTTTTAGATTATAAAATAACTTTAATCAAAGTCTGGAGTTGCCTCCAATTTGAAATTATTGATACATCTCTTCCGTTTTACAGATACACAAGACGATTGTTCGTCAGAGGATTCAAAAAAGACTTGGAAGACGACGATTTATACGAGGTAATCAGTTCTTGCCGTTCCAAAAGGTGCGCTGATAAGCTGGAACATGCCTACGAAATTGAAACCAAGAAAAAGGAACCATCGGTGATAAGGATATTGTGGCATTGTTATGGTCTGGTATACGTAGTTTTGGGGATATTCAATTTATCTTTTAAACTGTTAACAAGGTAAGGAATGTGTTTAATAAGAAATTTAACTTTTTTGGTATGATGTAAGATGAAACTTAGACTTGTTTGGTTTCATAAAAAATACGTTAAGAACTGTCAGACAACAAATACTTTACTACACCTAAACCTAAATCTAAACAAACCTTCTGTTTACAAAACCCAAATGACAGTCATACGAATTTTGAAAAAGATAATTCAAATAATGTAGGTCAAAATATTTTATCTTTAATTTATTTCGATAACTTTACAAGAAAGTCATATTCGGTACACATTAAATTGATTTTATCTTGCTTTTCATTGTCTTATTAATTCAAAAATTGTTTCTTATGACTGCAAAAAATAATTGTGTAATATAAAACGAAATAATTTTTATTCTCAAACATTATCTTCGGAATTTTATCGGCATATATTTAGTTAGATATTAAAAACAGTTTCGTGAGAAAACTAAAATTAACAATAAGCCAATAAAAATATAAAACAGCCTTGCGCCTAATCCATCCAACTTATTTTTTTAAACTCTATTTAACGTAAATAAAGTGTGATACTTTAGGCGCATTTAGGAGAAATGAAAAGATGAGATTTTGTATATAAAATTTTTTAAATTGTGTGCTTTGTCTCTCAATGTTTTTAAAAATTAATCGTGATCGCAAAAGAGCATGCAAAATATTTTTCAGACACATGTAATTTTTTTTTGATTTGAATATATGTGCCATTCAGCCAATCACAATTCGTTTATAAAATAACTATCTAAAAATGGTATCTAAAAGCGTTGCAACTTAGCCTTTCATCTTTGACGCCATTTTTATTTAAAAAAGTAGACAAGCCTACTAAAAATATTAAATTTTGTTGGTTAGGCAACTCTAGCACTAAACCATTTAATTTTAAAATGTTTAACATACTTGCAGCACTTTGGAACCAGACGCCATAGCACATCTCGTTGGTTATTTCAAACCAGGACAAACCAAAATGACGTTAAACGACGCCTTGTATTATTCCAGTGTTTTAATTGTATTAAAATTGATCCACACTGCATATCACCCGAATTACTCGTTGTATCTAGCGCAGTTGTCCATTCAAATTAGAACGTCGTTCTGCTCTCTGATATACAGGAAAGCCTTGAAATTGAGTCCAAAGGCACTCGAAAAAACTAGTTTAGGTGAGTATTTTTTGTTATATAAATGGATATAAATGGATATAAATGGATATAAATGGATATAAATGGATATAAATGGATATAAATGGATATAAATGGATATAAATGAATATAAATGGATATAAATGGATATAAATGGATATAAATGGATATAAATGGATATAAATGGATATAAATGGATATAAATGGATATAAATGGATATAAATGGATATAAATGGATATAAATGGATATAAATGGATATAAATGGATATAAATGGATATAAATGGATATAAATGGATATAAATGGATATTAATGGATATAAATGGATATAAATGGATATAAATGGATATAAATGGATATAAATGGATATAAATGGATATAAATGGATATAAATGGATATAAATGGATATAAATGGATATAAATGGATATAAATGGATATAAATGGATATAAATGGATATAAATGGATATAAATGGATATAAATGGATATAAATGGATATAAATGGATATAAATGGATATAAATGGATATAAATGGATATAAATGGATATAAATGGATATAAATGGATATAAATGGATATAAATGGATATAAATGGATATAAATGGATATAAATGGATATAAATGGATATAAATGGATATAAATGGATATAAATGGATATAAATGGATATAAATGGATATAAATGGATATAAATGGATATAAATGGATATAAATGGATATAAATGGATATAAATGGATATAAATGGATATAAATGGATATAAATGGATATAAATGGATATAAATGGATATAAATGGATATAAATGGATATAAATGGATATAAATGGATATAAATGGATATAAATGGATATAAATGGATATAAATGGATATAAATGGATATAAATGGATATAAATGGATATAAATGGATATAAATGGATATAAATGGATATAAATGGATTAAAATGGATTTAAATGGATACAAATGGATATAAATTGATATAAATGGATAAAAATCGATATAAAATAATCTAAATAGATATAAATAAATAAAAAACATGTAAATATAAATATGTTTGTTGTTTTATTTCAGGAAACATCATAACTATAATTAGTAAAGACGTATCGATGTTTGAAGGCGCTATAATGCTATTTAACGACCTGTGGATCGGAGTTGTGCAAACTTTCTATATTTGCTACCTAATTTATGCCAAAGTTGGAATTTCGTCCACACTGGGAGTGCTAATATTAGCATCAGCAATACCAATACAATGTAAGTTCGAATTAATTTGTAATTTATATCTAGATGTACTGATGTACGATGAGTTTGGAAATTAACCAAATTATTTACTTTACCGGTAAAAATAGGCTTGTCGGTGATAATTGCGCACGCCTCTGAATGGAATCAAAATTGTTATTTAAAAAAGAATAATTGTAGAAACAAATGTGTGTCATTTATTTCATACAAGACGAATAATATAAACCAGTAATGTAAAACGGTAATATAAAGGGTAATATGAAAGGTAATATAAAACGATTATACAAAACGGTAATATAAACGTCTAATATAAAACGGTAAAATAAAATACTAATATAAAACGGTAATAAAAAGAGATAATATAAAATGCAAAAATAAAACGGTAATAATAAAAGGTATTGTAAGAAGGTATTGTAAAACTTGAAAATAAAATAATTGTATTATAAAATAGTCATATAAACCGGTAATATAAAAACGGTAACATAACATGGTAATGAAAGCGATAAAATAAGAATAATAAAATGGCTAACTAAAAGAAAATACAAAAGATTGATACATACAAGCTGTATATTAAAAAGGTAATATATAACGGTACATCAAACTTAAATAAAAACAGTAATATAAAATAAAATGGCAATATAGAATAAAATGGTAATATAAAACTAGATTAAACTAAATGGTAAAATATAAATATATCGGTAAGAATAAACGGTAATAAAAACGGTAATATAAAACGGTAGTATTAAACGGTAATATAAAACGGTAATGAGAAAAATTACGTTTTAAACAAATTAATACTGTTATGTGAGCCATTTCATTATTCAGTCATGCTCTAACCCTCCCTCTCTGTCTTATTTGGCCTTTGAGGCTCAACTTGTCCGATTATTATACATAATTAAACCCTTTAAGACCAAACCTATGAGACGACTATGGCGGAGGTGCTTTCGATGATTATTCGAGAAAGAACGGGAAAACGTTTCTAGTGTATTGGTGAATATGGTGAACTTTCTAGCACATTCGCCAATTTTTTAAATTTGTATATAAATATTGGTAGAGGACCAAGCGACAGTTATTATATGGATAGTGAAGATAAATAGTCAACAGTTTTAAGACATTCGAAATATATAAATTAGAATAATAGTGTTATAAAATAAATAAGCGTTTAATTATATTATAAATAAATAAATTGTTGTTTAAAATAAACAAACATCACAATACACTGCAATAAATAAACATTCTATGACAAAATTTGATTATTAGAAATAAAAAAAAAAATTAAATCATTTTTTTCAATAATTTTCCTTTTTTTAGTTTACATATCGAAAATTATAGCAAACTTGCGTTTGAAAATTAACAAAAAAACTGACGTACGGTTGCAAGAAAGTCAAGAAGCCCTATCGACCATAAAAATTATAAAAATGTATACGTGGGAAATGATTTTTACTAATCGTATTAGTGAAACTAGAAGGTGAGAAATATACTCATAAATAATAGAGTTATGGTGAAAGTTAAAACATTAAAAATACTTTTTAGAACATATAATGGATTGCGACGTGCTCTTCGAGCACGTCGTTAACAACAATCTGTATCTGTATTTTTATTAAAATCTTTATTCCTTTTCAGAAAAGAGGTCAACACAATGATGCTCAAATCCATTACAAGACTCGGCTTGATAGTAACAAGCGACTTTTTGGGTAAAGTCGGTTTCTACGTCATAGTAATGTTCTACATCTATCTCAATTCGAGCGTAGACGCAGAATCAATCTTTTACATAATGAAACTGTACGCCACATTAAAAGGAACAATTTCTATGATGTTCACATTCGGATTAACATTAATTGCTGAGTTATCAGCTTCTTTATCTAGGATAAATACAGTTCTAATGCTAGAAGAACTTCCTGACCACATGGATAAACCTGATGACGAACCACAAATCGATATTAGAGATGCATCAGTCAACCTAAAAGACGTAGATGTCCTAAAACATATCTCGTTTAAACTAAAAGCTGGTTTAAACGTTATTACAGGACAGCTTGGATGTGGAAAAACCTCGCTGATAAAGTTGATTTTGAGAGATTTACCAGCTGACTCTGGTGATATTCGGACGAGAGGTAGAATGAGTTATGCCTCGCAGGATCCTTGGTTGTTTCCTGCTACTATCAAGCAGAATATTCTCTTTGGGGAAAAGTACGAGTACGAAAGGTATAACAAAGTAAGTTTTTATTGTAATACTAAGTCTAGAGTAGTTGGGAAACTAAATTGATAAAGTAATATACAATAAGAAATGAATGGAACGTATTTAAAGTGTGTAGGTAGTTTTATTAATATTAATAAAACTCAGCAAAATTAGTCTTAACGCTTTCAGCCGGTTAGGCCATCATCAAACCTTCGTTTCAAGCCTCAAGTTATGGTTGAGAATAGGGACCGTATTGTGGCAGCCCTTTTAATCTAATAAATAAAATTTTAAATAATTAATTTTCATGCACCTTCTATATTTACTGACAAAGTCTCTGATGATGGCCTAACCGGCTGAAAGCGCTAAGACTAATTTTACTGAGTTTTATTAATATTAATAAAACTACCTACACACTTTAAATACGTTCCATTCATTTCTTATTACCCAGTGTGTACACACCACTCAACCTCTTCTCTAATATACAATAATTTAAAGTATAACTCTAAAACAGTTTTTATTAAAAATAGGTTTTAAAACCTACTTAAATAATCTTATAAGAAAATAGGTTTTGAGTTGTATAAGACTGAATAAGTTTTAAAAATGTTTAACCTTAAAGGACAATCAAATTTCCTTACTTTACACAGATATTCACAATAAAATTTTATGATTTTGTGGGGGAAAATATTGAACATTTCGATACAATCATTCTAATAAATTTAACCTGCCAGTAAGTAAACCATTATAAGAGAATTTTAAGGATTAGTATCGAAATGAGGATATCAGTATATTATTAGATACAGGTTCCAAAGCCTATTATATTAAATCGAAGAAAAAGGAGACCAAAATAGCGAAGGGTGCAAAGAAATGTGTAATAAAAAATTTAAATTTGTCAGATTATGAAAAAATTGTAAAAGTAAAGGATAAGATATTCAGAGTTCGTTACAAGAAATATACATTGAATTAAAAAACAAAGTTGCATTCTCATATAATGATGAAAAAAAGGTTTATAATACAAGACACAGTGGAAACTCTCGCTAAAAATCAAGTAAAGTAGATGAAATATTTATTATCTTAGAATTCGGAGCCATATTGTATGGTGGGAGATTTGGAACAAACCCGTTTTTATGACCATACGATGTATGTATTAGGGAGACTTCACCCATGAAGCATAGTTGTAGTTTAATAACTAAATTTTTCTTTACTAACAAAATTTCCATATTAACATTAATTAAAACTTTTATTCACAGGTCCTTGAAGCTTGCGCGCTTACCTACGACTTAGGAATCTTAGAAAAAGGCGACGAAACCATAGTACAAGACAGAGGCATGAACCTTAGTAAAGGTCAGCAAGCGAGAGTCAACCTCGCAAGAGCCGTCTACAAAGAGAGCGATATCTATCTTTTAGACGACGCACTGACTGCTTTAGATTCAAAAGTGCAGGAACACATTTTCAGAGAATGTATAGAAAAGTTTCTGAAGGGAAAATTAATTATATTAGTGACTCATAACAGTAGACACATCAACAGATCTGAAAAGGTGATTATACTTCAAAAAGGATGCGTTAATTATTTTGGAAAGCATCAAGATTTGTCCCACGATATATTACAAGCACTTGAAGAAGAAGGTCATGAACACGAACAGCCACCACCGACGCCATTATTTGAAGATAAATCAAAGGAAATAACCGAGGAAACTATCGCTGAGCATACTAAATTATTAAAACCTCCACCTGTTATTAAACATAAACAAATTTATCACGAGGTTAAAAAGTCTGGTGGTGTTGCTTTCGATGTGTACGCCAGTTATGTCAGATATGGAGGTGGACTGCTTGTGCTGCTCATAATGATTTCTTTGTATTTCTGCTCTACTTTTTCTGAAAGTTCTTCGCAAGTGATGTTAACAAATTGGTAAGTTGAAGATTATATTCCAATAATTATTCAATTGTATATTAGATGGTATAGCGTAAATATTGGGTGATGTAACATAAATATTTAATAACGTTAAAAAAAAGTGTTACTTTTATATAATACGTTTATATGCAGTCATATAGGTAATAACTTATTTTTAGGAATCCACACCAAACATAAAAAGTACTGTGTCCCTTGTTAACACCATAGTATTTTCTAACAAATAATTCCTTGATATTAAAATAATCTAGAATTAAATCTATTATTTTGTTATTTTAAATAAATGATTTATTTTTAACAAGATATTAAAGTCTTCATATAAATAAATTTAAAAAAATGTTTCAAAATAATACATTTTTCTACCAAACAAATTTATTTAAAATTAATATAGTTAATGCTTAAAATAAACAATAATTGTCAACATAAACTTGAAACAACTAGAGTTTTTCACGCAAGAGTGGTGGTCTTGAATTAAAACAATAGTAGTTTGTGCAACAAGAGTGGATATAATGACCAGGTTAGATCAAAGGTTTACATATGTATATCATTTTTAGCAGATTTTTAATAAAAAAACAGCTAGATGTTCCATAAATTGTCATAACATCAAGCTGTCATTTAATTCAGAATAACAAATGTTAATTATATAACTGATCGTGGCTTTTCAGGATTATAATCTTTAAATTTTGTGAATTGTGACATAATGTACTTATTTATTGATGTTAATGACATGATGTTTAATCTGAATAACTATTTGATTCAGCATTTCTCTGTACAAGCTCTTTTAGTAAGAAAATACTCAACCACATACTACAAATTAAAAGAAAATCCTAAGTTTCTAATTAGATTCTGATCTTCGTTTCAGTAAACATGAATCCATCTTATCTCAAAGCTCGTTCAACGTCTTAAGACATATGTTTCCTAACTGAGACCTATTTTCCAATCTACTCAATCTAAAACTTTATGAACCTCCATTTTTTTTATATAAACCCAGGTATTCTGATTACATCTATGGTCCAGTTTTACTCCAATATGATTCAACGGGTTAAAAAAAAAAATAATAAAACGTTTTGCTTAACTGAATTTAAAAAATTTAACCAATAATTTGGAATAACTATCTCTTTTTTATGTTTATTTATATTTATTGAAAGTTTTATTTATCCAAAGATTTGTCTTTTCTAATAATAATAATAGTAATAATAAAAAATACCGTTGGCCAGGATTTTTTTAATTAATTTAATTAATTAAAATTAATTCTAATGCCTTGGTAGGATTCCCCACTCGACCATTCACTGTTGGGTTCTAATTAACAGTGCTGTTCCTAAAGTGGCGCTGGGAAACAGTAACAAAGCCTACACAGAACACGAGGCGAAATAACCTTAGCAGTTGAAGCCGATGACATACAAAAAAAAATTACCTATACGGGATAAAATAACATTATTTTTGAAAGACAAAAAAAATAAATTCTATAATTATCTTATCTGAAAGAATATTTTGCAATAAACAATAGCTATTTAACAAAAAAAACTTATTATCCTACAACATTGAAGTCATTTGTTTAGACTTTGATATTATTGACTTGTATGGAAAAACTATGGAAAACATTCAACTTTAATATATTCTTTAAAATAATTAATGAAGTTAATATTGGTGAAACAGATACAAAGTTTCAGAATCAAATATTTAAAAAATAAAATAAAAAAAATTAAATTCTATAATTGTCTTAAATAAAAGAACATTTGTGCAATAAACAATAATAGTTATTTAAAAAAAAACTTATTATACCACTGAAGCTATTTGTTTAGACTTTGTTATTATTGACTTGTATGGAAAAACTATGGAAAACATTCAACTTTAATATCTTCTACAAAATAATTAATGGAGTTATTACTGGTGAAAAATACAAAGTTTCGGAATCAAATGTTTAACAACTAAAATAAAAAAAACCATTGAAAGGAGTCAAAACAACTTAAACAATCCGCATTAAGATAAAATCACTCGATAATTTTTAAAATCTTAAATTATTAATTTGATACCAAAAACACTTATTTCTATTTTTTATTATTTTTTAGGGTAAATCACGAATCCAAACTATCAGCTTTGAGAGAAAAACATTTCGGAAACTCAACGGTCGATATCGACAAACTAATGGCCATTTATTTTCCCACAAACTCCACAAACATAACCGAAATCGAAACCGATAACGGCAAATCTGACATGTTGTCCAACGTTGACACAGTCCATCCAAATCTACCAAATCCGATTCACGGTCCATCGCGAACGATTCCTTTAATTCCAGCCAGACCGACGTCATTTTTAAACGACAGTTTATACATGCCTGTAGATTTTTCATCTTTAACAGAAGAACAGAATAAAACTTACCACCTCCTTTTGGAAATGGGAATAATTGAACTACAAGCTACTAAGTCTTTAAATTTGTATACTATAGCTTTAATAGCTTCGATTGTGTTTGAGTTCGTGAAGAACTATATGGTTTTTAATTTCGGTACTAAAGCTTCAATTAATCTGCACAAAGCTATGATAAAAAGTATAGTTTTTGCGAAGATGTCGTTTTTTGATACATTCTTCGTTGGGAATATTTTGAATAGATTCTCGCAGGATTTGAGCATTGTAGATGAATATTTACCTATTATTATCACCACGCTTATTGGGGTGAGTAGTTTTCTGGTTATTTTTATGTCTAATTTATGTTGAATTTATGTTGAATTTATGTTGAATTTATGTTGAATTTATGTTGAATTTATGTTGAATTTATGTTGAATTTATGTTGAATTTATGTTGAATTTATGTTGAATTTATGTTGAATTTATGTTGAATTTATGTTGAATTTATGTTGAATTTATGTTGAATTTATGTTGAATTTATGTTGAATTTATGTTGAATTTATGTTGAATTTATGTTGAATTTATGTTGAATTTATGTTGAATTTATGTTGAATTTATGTTGAATTTATGTTAAATTTATGTTGAATTTATGTTGAATTTATGTTGAATTTATGTTGAATTTATGTTGAATTTATGTTGAATTTATGTTGAATTTATGTTGAATGTTGAATTTATGTTGAATTTATGTTGAATTTATGTTGAATTTATGTTGAATTTATGTTGAATTTATGTTGAATTTATGTTGAATTTATGTTGAATTTATGTTGAATTTATGTTGAATTTATGTTGAATTTATGTTGAATTTATGTTGAATTTATGTTGAATTTATGTTGAATTTATGTTGAATTTATGTTGAATTTATGTTGAATTTATGTTGAATTTATGTTGAATTTATGTTGAATTTATGTTGAATTTATGTTGAATTTATGTTGAATTTATGTTGAACTTGTGTTGAATTTATATTGAATTTCACAATACTTCGGTTAAAACAGGCAGAATCGATCGAAAACGGTAAGGTACGAGATAGAGCTGAAATATTTTTTTTAGTATTCCATTTAGAATAGTAGACAGTGTTGCCAATTGTTATGAAATGTATAAAGATCTCAGTAAATATCAACGAAAAACCTATATTTATTAAAAAATGTTTTATAACATACATGTCAAATAAAATTTAATCCGTAAAAAAAATTACAAGTGATCTAAATAATATTTACTTATTTCCAAAATCTAAAAAATTGCTGTCTCGTCACATGTTGCGATCGCCTTTCATTATATCAGTTCTTTACAAGATTTTTTCGACGACCGAATTTCTAATAAAATGAACTCAACGAATTCTAAGCCCGTTATAATTTTAATACACAGATTTCCATCCTTTTGACGTTTGAGATATCTGGATTAAATGATTATCCCTGTGCAGGAAACGCGAAGATTGTACAGCTAGAGGGGATAATAATGCACTAATAATTGACGAATTCGCATTGTGACTAGACACATTGGAAGTCCTGTAATCTTATCGGAGTGTTCTATTAGTAATTAATTCCAACGATAAATTACAAGACCAGGTTTGGAAAGAGAAGGACTAAATGCGTCATAGACATATTCAATGTTTGGAAACACTCGTAGCAGTGGCGTTACTACAACTTTTAACAATATTTCTTCAAGTATTATAAACATTTTCAAATTTGATTATTTTTTTTATATAGGCTGGTTTTGGAGTTGTTGGAATTGTTGGTATGATGGCTCACGTCAACTTGAAATTTCTAGCACCAGCTTTAGCAGTATTAGTTCTTTTAATACTGATGCGTTTTATTTACATGCCCACAGCTAGAAGTTTAAAACGTCTAGAAGCTGCAAGTAAGACTTTTTTTATTACTTAAAGTAAAATTAAATATGTTATATTAGTGTGACGAAATTTTGGTTTCACTAAGGGTTGACTTTTAATAGAAATAAACCTGTCAAAATTACAGGTTCCAGTTAAAAATTCGGCGATTTAGAGTTGCTGTTGATTTCTAAAAAAAAATCCAGATCCTTAATTTTCAATATTTAATCACCTACCAGGAGATTCTCTTTATTTTTATTAAAACAAATTCGCGATATATTTACACAAATTTTTATACACAGCTTGTTAAAAAATAATGGATGAATTTATTTCAAGTGTCTCATTATTTTAGCACGAAGTCCAATTATTGGCCACCTAAATTCTTCAATGGAAGGACTAACGACAGTCAGAGCTTATAAGGCTCAAGAAATTCTCAGAAATGAATTTGACAAACATCAAGATGTTTACACTAGCGCTAGATACACTTCCTTGTGTGCTAGAAATGCTTTTAGTTTCTACATGGATTTTTCTGCAGTTTTACTTAATATATTTATCATTGGGAGATTTCTGTTTTTTGATACTGGTAAGTTCATTTTTATTATTATACAGGGTGTCTGTAAAAGGTATTTACAAAAACATACCACATATTCCTTAGACCAAAATAAGTCGATTTAAGTAAAATTACCTTAGTACAAAGTTGCTTCGTTTGGGCCCCAGAGGGCCTTGAAGTTACAATTTTTAAATAGTTTTTCCCATATAACTTTAAAACGGCATATGCGATTTTGCTGAAATTTGGTGTATTAGTAAAGTTTTATGTGGCAAAAAAATGGTATTAAAATTTTGTCCGATAATAAAACACCTAATTGCACCTTTAAAAATTCTACGCCAATGGAAAAAAAGGAGTTTCAGTATGAAATTTAGATTGCGCAACTCATTAACTTTCAAAAGGTACTCCTGATAAGACTCGATTACTCTTATGGTTTTGACAAAATTTGCATTTTAGTAATTTTAGAACATAAAAAATAATTATTAAAATACAAACTTTGTCAAAACCATTGTTATCGAGTGTTATCAAGGGTACTTTTTTGTAGTAAATGAGTACCCAATCCAAATTTCATACTCAAACCCCTTTTCTGCCAAAATGCCCGAAGAGTGAGTTGACGTCTTTAAACGAAAAAGGGAAGTCTAATCCAGATGGCAGCGTAGATAAGTTTAAGGCAAGGTTAGTTAATCAGATACAAGGTATTGACTATAACCAAACATTTAGTTCGGTAGCAAGAGTAGGCCCAATTAGATCAATTTTAAGTATTGGAGCTAGCCAAAGGATGTATCTATCTACTGCATTTTTATATGGAGAACTTGAGGAAACAATTTACATGAATCAGCCAAGTGGTTATACTAATAGTACAAATAGAGTTTGTAAACTTAAAAGAAGCCTAGTAAGTGAAGTCGACCCTTGTCGAAAAAGATGGTAGAAAACTCATATTGGCATTGTACGTGGATGACGGTTTAACTGCAACAACTGATTTGTGTGACCTAGAGGATTTCCTGGCAGAATTTAAGATAACCTCAAAATCTGCAAAATACTTTTTAGGAATAGAAATTAAGCGAAGCTCCGATGGTTTTATTAAAATTAATCAAAAAGCACATGCTAGAAGAATTTTAGAACGTTTCAACTTTTTAAAGTGTAAATCAATTTCAACTCATATTCTAAAAGTTTCCGAAACTCCAAAATCAGGAACAGAGTCTGATAAAAAACATAAATATCCATACAGGCAAGCAATAGGAGCGTTAATGTATTTAATGCTGGGTACCAGACCCGATATAGCATATGCTGTAGGCTTTTTATCGATAAATTTAGAAAATCCAACCGTAGAAGACGTAAGAGTCAAGAGAGTATTTCGGTACTTAGCAGGTACTCTTGAGCTTGGTATATTAAACTCCTCAGATGCAATTAAAAGAATTTTAGAATGCTATAGTGATGCATATTTTGAAGAATGTACAAAAACAGGTAGATTAACTACTGGAGTGGTTGTAACCTATGAAGGTGGAGCTATTTCATGGCTTATTCAGAGGCAGGCAATGGTAGCTACATCCACCACAGAAGTTGAGATTGTTGCAACGAAGGAAGTGATTTGGTTAAACACATTATTTGGACAAATTGTAAAACTTAACCACAAACATTTAAAAAACAAATTCTAAATTATCGAAGTGGGTTAATGATAATATCATTGTAGATGAGACAAAATATAAAGGTACTAAAGGTTTAAGGGAATTACTAACATCTGCTGATGCACCAGAAAAAAATTATAGAGTAAAGAAGACTACAACAACTATAAAAGAATCTTGTTTGAAACCGATTGTTTAAAATTATGACAAGTTATCTGGGAAGGTACGTTCAAATCAAGGAAATAAATACCGAAATTTAATAAAATTTATATGGGTTGAATTAAAATATAAATTACCCATTACACCATTTAGAGATAGACGAGGAGATAGGTCTTTGTCTTGGGATTATGTTCCAGTTGAATCACCAAGAAAAGGTGCTGGTATAAGGAAATATACAGAAAATCAAATAGAATATAAATATATAGACAATCTCAATGAATTACTTAAAAGGTTATATTTTATTGCATCTGAAGAAAAAGCTGGAAAATTTGGAATTCTTTTTTTATATCAATATCTATGTTATTAATAGCCTGTTTAACTTTTTGTAATGCATTAGTAATAGGAAGGAATTGTTTTTGTTTTTCCTCTAACCCACTCCGATCATTTGGAATTTCTTTTTTAAATTATTTATTTAAACCCCTTTATATATTTTGTGCTTGTTTAGCTTTTAGAAGTTTCAAGAATTTTTATTACATCTTTATTTTGAAAAATTTCAGAATGATTGGGTTTCTTTTGATCATTATGTTTTAATTCACTTTTTAATTTTTCTCTGGTTTTTTTATTTTCTCAATTCTCTTTAATAAACGTCTCTGAATATTTTCTTTTTTCATTTATTATAAAAAAATATATATATTTAAGTAACAGAAAATTTAATAAGACAACATGATATAGACTATAACATACGTAACGTAGAACGTGACATAACGTAACGTGACATAACGTAATGTGTTGATTTCATTATGAAACGTTTTCAAACTTGTTGTAAAATTTATTGTTTTTCAAATCGATGCAAACGAAACCGTAGTCATGTTCCCATCCTTGTTTAGAAAATGTATAAAAGTTTTTAAGTGTCATCTCATGTAAATCGACTATGCTATAACACTGAGTTAAATAAGTACAAGAAATATTTTTTGGTCTAGATCTAACGAAATAATCCTTAATTGTTTGTTGTTTTTCTAAACTGCAATCGTCAAAAATAACTAGACTATTTGGTTTACAACATTGTTTCGACACCAGGATTTCTCTAATTTTTGCTTTTATATAATAAAATTGTAGGTGCTCGATTTTAGATCTAACTTGAGACAGGAGCGGCACTTTACATACTACAAATAACTCTCTATTTTTTCAGATACCTTAGCTGGAGACGTCGGTCTAACACTAACCCAAGCTAGTGCTTTAACCATGGTACTCCAATTCGCTCTCATGCAATGGTCGGAAGCTGAAAACCTGATGACTTCAGTCGAGAGAGTGATGGAATACACAAAAGTCGAACCAGAAAGAACCGATGGCCAAGAAACTCCGAACTGGCCGAACAAAGGCGAAATCCTCTACAAAGGAGTATCATTAACTTACACAAATTCCACCGAAAAAGTTTTAAAAGATATAAATTTCAAAGCTGAATCAAACGAAAAAATTGGAATAGTAGGTAGGACTGGTGCTGGAAAATCATCGATTATATCAACGTTATTCAGATTATACGACCACGAAGGTACCATTACCATCGATGGGATTGATACGAGGACTCTTTCGTTGAAATATCTTAGACAGCATATTTCCATCATCCCTCAAGATCCAATAATGTTCTCTGGTACTATAAGAACGAACATAGATCCGTTAAAAGAGTTTACAGATGAAGAAATATGGAGGGTTCTTCATAAAGTTAATTTGGATAATAAAGTTGCAAACTTAGAATGCGTTTGTGAAGACACAAACTTCAGTTCGGGCGAGCGACAACTGTTGTCTTTATCAAGAGCCATCATTCGCAGAAATAAAATCGTAGTCCTAGATGAAGCTACCGCGAATATGGATCCAGAAACGGAGCAAATGGTGCAAAAAGCAATTGATTCCAACTTTTCGACTTGTACAGTATTCATCATAGCTCACAGAATTGATTGCATCTTGAATTGTAACAAAGTTATGGTTTTGAATAGAGGAGAGATTATGGAGTTTGATGATCCAAAAACATTGTTGTTGGATAAGAATAGTATGTTTTCTAAGATAGTTAAAGTTGCTGGAACAATGGGAAATTGATGGTTGAAGATATTGTGACAATCTTTAAAAGAAATCAATAAAGACAATTAATAATGTTCTATCAATTTTTTCAGATTTAATGATTAAGTGCTGAATGTGGAAGTTTGTATTAAAATAATGCTAGAATAAATATTTGTTATAATATACATAATTTTGTATCAAAACTATATAGAACAGTGTTCAACGACTAACAACTACTAGACAAAACTTTAATTTGGACGTACGAGTAAAATGCATTAGTTAATTTAGACAATTGATTTAAACTCAAGATTTAATTTAGATACTGAATTTAGACGCCTGATAAAGTTTTGAGGCACGTCGAAGACTTACAATCTAATTAAGAGATACACGACTTAAACGCTTAACTAAGACGTACGACTGTAACGCATTAGAGACGAACAAAGGGATGTACGACTGAGACGCTAAATAAAACGCACGTCTGAGACGCACGTGTTAGACGCACGACTGAGACGCATGACTGATATGCGCGATTTAAACGTACGACTGAGGTGAGCGACTGAGACGCACGACTGAGACGCATGTCTAAGACGCACAACTGAGACGCACGACTAAGACGCACGACTAATATGTGCTACTGAGAAATATAACTGAAGATTGTGACTGAGACGCTTGACAAAGACGCATGATAAACACTTATGACAAAGACGCATGAGAAAGACGCATGTCTAAGACGCACGATTCAGACGAAAGATTCAATTTGGACGCACAATTCAATTAAAATGCATGATTAAGATAAATGATTAAGATGTACCATTCAATTTAGATGCACGATTAGGATGTGCTATTTAAATTAGACGCACGATTTAGATGTTCCAGTCATTTTAGGTGTACGACTTAGACGCACCATTTAAATTAGACGCACAATTAAACTTAGACTCACGATTTATTTTGGACGCAAGAATAAGATACAAAATTTAGACTCACGATTCAATTTAGAAGCATAATTTAGACGCACGATTCAATTTAGACATTCGATTCAAATTAGACGCACGACTAAGCAGCAAGATTTAATTTAGACGCAAGGTTTAGACGCTTGATTCAATTTTGACGTATAACTTAGACGTACATTTTAATTAAGACATATAATTCAATTAAGATGTACCCTATAATTTAATTTAGACGCATGATATAATTTAGATGCATGATTAAATTTATACGCATGGTTCATTTCAAACGCACGAATTAGACTTACGATTTAATTAGGATGCACGATTTAGACGCACGATTTAGACGCACGATTTAGACGCACGATTTAGACGCACGATTTAGACACGACTGAGACGTACGACTGAGGCGCACTATTGAGACGCACGACTGAGACGCACGACTAAGACACACGACTAAAACGCACGATTGAGATGCATGACTAAGACGCACGATTGAGACGCATGACTAAGCGCACGATTGAGACGCACGATTGAGACGCACGATTGAGACGCACGATTGAGACGCACGATTGATACGCACGATTGAGACGCACGACTAAGACGCCGTGGAATTACGAAAGATTAAAATATTTTTGATACGGCAATTTGGGAACTGCAATAAAATCTTTTAACTTCTTTCGATGTTTTACATGATAACAACGCTAGACTTAATAAAACGAAAATCAACTCTTTCAGATTTTAACGAATTTTTCCGAAACTAACAAGAAATTCTAGATTTTTTTTAGACCATTTACTTACCTGTCAATACATGAAATATTTTCTCCATTCAACCATCGTTGAATAACAGAATAAAACCTCTCCTCCTCTTTTTTTTAAACGGTTTATATTTAACTTAAAAAAAGAAGATTATAATCCCAATGTAAAGTATCCAATTTCCAGAGCTTAAAACATTTAAACACCTAATCGCAGAAACCTGCGGTTTTTGCTGATATGTCATTTTGTTATAAGTTTTGCTTCAGTGACAGAAATTATGTATTACCTATACAGGATGTATTTTAAAAATTTCCTATTTTAAATTCATCGTAACCAAATTGTATCAAATTGAACACCCTGTATATGTTTAGGTCATCTAAAAGACACACTCTTCTACTTTTCAAAAATGTATAACTTATTCATGGATTTTAATACAGGGTGTTCCATTTGGTAAAATTTGGTTACGGGATATTTAAAAGAGGAGATTATGGAACACCCTCTATATGTTTAGGTCATCTGATTAATACACTTTTCTACTTTTTAAAAATGTATAATTTATACATGGTATTTTAGTACAGGGTTTTCTATTTGGTAAAATTTGGTTACGGGATATTTAAAAGAGGAGATTATGGAACACCCTCTATATGTTTAGGTCATCTGATTAATACACTTTTCTACTTTTCAAAAATGTATAATTTGTACATGGTATTTTGGTACAGGGTATTCCATTTGATAAAATTTGCTTACGGTGAATTTAAAAGAGATTTTTAAAAGCACCCTGTATAAGTAATACCTAATTTATGTGTCATTAAACCAACACTTATATCAAAATAACACATATCAGCGAAAACTGCAAGTTTCTACAATTGGGCGCTTAAAAGTTATAAGCTCTGGAAACGGGCGGGCTACTTTTCATTGGGACACCCTGTATTTCGCTGTAATAATATCGTTGATAAGAATGTTTACTGTTTGTTTACTTACTGTTTGTTTACTGTTTACTGTTTACTGTTTACTGTTTACTGTTTACTGTTTACTGTTTACTGTTTACTGTTTACTGTTTACTGTTTACTGTTTACTGTTTACTGTTTACTGTTTACTGTTTACTGTTTACTGTTTACTGTTTACTGTTTACTGTTTACTGTTTACTGTTTACTGTTTACTGTTTACTGTTTACTGTTTACTGTTTACTGTTTACTGTTTACTGTTTACTGTTTACTGTTTACTGTTTACTGTTTACTGTTTACTGTTTACTGTTTACTGTTTACTGTTTACTGTTTACTGTTTACTGTTTACTGTTTACTGTTTACTGTTTACTGTTTACTGTTTACTGTTTACTGTTTACTGTTTACTGTTTACTGTTTACTGTTTACTGTTTACTGTTTACTGTTTACTGTTTACTGTTTACTGTTTACTGTTTACTGTTTACTGTTTACTGTTTACTGTTTACTGTTTACTGTTTACTGTTTACTGTTTACTGTTTACTGTTTACTGTTTACTGTTTACTGTTTACTGTTTACTGTTTACTGTTTACTGTTTACTGTTTACTGTTTACTGTTTACTGTTTACTGTTTACTGTTTACTGTTTACTGTTTACTGTTTACTGTTTACTGTTTACTGTTTACTGTTTACTGTTTACTGTTTACTGTTTACTGTTTACTGTTTACTGTTTACTGTTTACTGTTTACTGTTTACTGTTTACTGTTTACTGTTTACTGTTTACTGTTTACTGTTTACTGTTTACTGTTTACTGTTTACTGTTTACTGTTTACTGTTTACTGTTTACTGTTTACTGTTTACTGTTTACTGTTTACTGTTTACTGTTTACTGTTTACTGTTTACTGTTTACTGTTTACTGTTTACTGTTTACTGTTTACTGTTTACTGTTTACTGTTTACTGTTTACTGTTTACTGTTTACTGTTTACTGTTTACTGTTTACTGTTTACTGTTTACTGTTTACTGTTTACTGTTTACTGTTTACTGTTTACTGTTTACTGTTTACTGTTTACTGTTTACTGTTTACTGTTTACTGTTTACTGTTTACTGTTTACTGTTTACTGTTTACTGTTTACTGTTTACTGTTTACTGTTTACTGTTTACTGTTTACTGTTTACTGTTTACTGTTTACTGTTTACTGTTTACTGTTTACTGTTTACTGTTTACTGTTTACTGTTTACTGTTTACTGTTTACTGTTTACTGTTTACTGTTTACTGTTTACTGTTTACTGTTTACTGTTTACTGTTTACTGTTTACTGTTTACTGTTTACTGTTTACTGTTTACTGTTTACTGTTTACTGTTTACTATTTACTGTTTACTGTTTACTGTTTACTGTTTACTGTTTACTGTTTACTGTTTACTGTTTACTGTTTACTGTTTACTGTTTACTGTTTACTGTTTACTGTTTACTGTTTGTTTACTGTTTACTAATTATTGTTTACTGTTTACAATTTACTGTTTGTTTACTGTTTACAATTTACTGTTTGTTTACTGTTTACTAATTATTGTTTACTGTTTACAATTTACAGTTTCTTTACTGTGTACCGTAAATTTACTGTTTCTTTACTGTATACTGTATCTTTACTGTATACGGTTTGCTGTTTACTCTGTACTGTTTACTCTTTACTGTTTACAGTTTACTGTTTCTTTACTGTATGCTGTTTTTTTACTCTTTATAGTTTGCTGTTTCTTTACTGTTTACTGATTGCTGTTTAGAGAGTAATCTTTCTTTACCGTATACTGTTTGTTTACTGTTTACTGATTGTTAACTATTTACTATTTAGTGTTCACTGTTTGTTTACTGTTTACAGTTTACTGTTTCTTTCTTGTTTACTGTTTAACGTTTAATCTTTACTGATAACTGTTTACTGTTTATTTACTATATACTGTGTGTTTACTATTAACTGGTTTGGCGTTTACCGTTTAGTGGTTTACCTTTTGCTGGTTTATAATTTACTGGTTTAACCGTTTGACTACAGTAAAGGTTTACTGGTTACGGAATTACTGGTTTACTATTCATTAGTATTTAAGGATGTAAGGATAAAATATGGTAAATCAATATTAAAACTAAATGTTATAATTAACAACATTAATTCATTTATAGTGCCAACAAATATTTTTTGCTTACAAAAATATAAGCTTAGTCTATTCAGCAATATTTGCTCGTTATCACATTAAATAAAGTGTGTTTCATATAGAAGTGGCATAAAATTCATTTTTTCTTTTTATAAAATGTTATTAAAAAATAATTAAAAATTAATTTTATGATTTACTATCACAATATCAGTTATTACTAAATTCTACTAATTAAAATAATTAAATAAATAAACATTATTATATAAATTTTTATACTAAACATAGTTAAACAGTATTTTTTGTTTAAATCTATTTAATTTTAGTTTTTTTTTTAATTTAGTTTTTTGTTACTACTCAGAAATTTATTTACACTCTTTCATTGTCTTTGTTCATATTTACCTGAAAATATTATAGAATTGCATAAATTTTAAATTTCCTACTATAATCTAATTTATTTTATACATCATTTGTCACAGTAATATTTTTCTACCTTGAGGAAGAAAAAGATGAAGATATGAAGATTCGAGAGAAAAAAACTAGAGAAAAGCACGTCTTGTGGAAAAAAAGACACCACAGAAAAAACGACTCCTTTAGGAAAAAAACACGAGAGAAAATAGATTCGAGAAAAAATCACCTCTCGAGTAAAAATACTCGCGAGAAAACCACCCCTCGAGGAAAAATACTAGAAAGAAAAGCACTTCTCGTGGAAAAAAGACTCGAGAGAAAAAGAATTTGAAAGGAAACCACCTCCAGAGAAGAAAATATTGGAAACACAACCTCGCGAGAAAGAAGGATTCCAGAGAAAAAATGACTCCTTTAGGAAAAAATCTCGAGAGAAAAAAGATTCGAGAAAAAATCACCTCTCGAGGAAAAAAGACTCGAGAGAAAACCATCCCTTGAGGAAAAATACTAGAGAGAAAAGCACCTCTCGAGAAAAAAAACTCGAGAGAAAAAGAATTTGAAAGAAAACCACCTCCCGAGAAGAAAATATTGGAAAAACAACCTCTCGAGAAAGAAGGATTCCAGAGAAAAAATGACTCCATTAGGAAAAAAATTTGAGAGAAAAAAGATTCGAGAAAAAATCACCTCTCGAGGAAAAAAGACTCGAGAGAAAACCACCCCTCAAGGAAAAATACTAGAGAGGAGAGCACCTCTCGTGGAAAAAAAACTAGAGAGAAAAAGAATTTGAAAGGAAACTACCTCCCAACAAGAAAATATTGGAAAAACAACCTCTCGAGAAAGAAGGATTCCAGAGAAAAAATGACTCCTTTAGGAAAAAAACTCGAAAGAAAAAAAGATTCGAGAAAAATTTACCTCTCGAGGAAAAAAACTCGAGAGAAAACCACCCCTCGAGGAAAAATACAAGAGAGAAAAGCACCTCTCGTAGAAAAAAAAAAACTCAAGAGAAAAAGAATTTGAAAGGAAACCACCTCCCGAGAAGAAAATATTGGAAAAAGAACGTCTTAAGAGAGAAGGATTCCAGAGAAAAAATGACTCCTTTAGGAAAAAAATTCGAGAAAAAAAAGATTCAAGAAAAAATCACCTCTCGAGGAAAAAATACTCGAGAGAAAACCATCCCTTACGGAAAAATACTAGAGAGAAAAGCACCTCTCGCGGAAAAAAACTCGAGAAAAAAAAATTTGAAAGGAAACCACCTCCCGAGAAGAAAATATTGGAAAAACAATCTCTCGAGAAAAAAGATTCGAGAAAAAATCACCTCTCGAGGAAAAAGACTCTAGGGAAAAAGAATTTGAAAGGAAACCACCTCCCGAGAAGAAAATATTTGAAAAACAATCTCTCAAGAAAGGATTCCAGAGAAAAAATGTCTCCTTCTGAAAAAAAAAAAAACTCGAGAAAAAAGATTCGAGAAAAAAATCACCTCTCGAGGAAAAAAGACTCGAGAGAAAACCACCCTTCGAGGAAAAATACTGAAGAGAAAAGCACCTCTCGTAGGAAAAAGACTCGAGAGAAAAAGAACTGGAGAGGAAACCACCTCTCTAGAAAAAATTACTCGAAAAATAACTACCTCTCGAAGAAAAATAATTCGAGACACAAGTATTGATAGAAAACCACATCTCGAGAAAAAAAGATTAGAGATAAAGAAGAATCGAAAGAAAAAACACTTCTTTAGAAAAAACGATTTAAAAGAAAAAAAAGACAACTTTAGGTAAAACAACTCGAAAGAAAGAAACTCGAGAGAGACAACCATCTCTCGAGTAAAGACGTCTATAGAGAAAAAAGTTTCGAGAGAAAAGCAACTCATGTGGAACAAAAACTCGAGAGAAAAAGGATTTGAAAAAACTATTTCTCGAAAACTATCCCACAAGGAAAAATCTTAAAAAAAATTTAACTTTTGGGAATAGCATTTGGAAAAATGCCGATTATGTAAAAAAGAATAAAGATAAAAAATTAAAAATAGAACGATCAAAAAGAGAATAAAATTTTATACAATATAGGGTATTCTTAACATCGATTAAAACTTATATGTAATTTTAATTTAAGGGAGAATCATAAGGAAAAAATAAAAATTTGACAAATATCCAACTCCCGAGTAAAAAAGACTCGGAAGACAACCACCTCTTGAGGAAAAAGGAATCAAAAGAAAAAATACCTTAGGGAAAACCATCCTTTGAAAAACAAAGAATAGAAGAATGACTCGAGAGAAAAACCACCTCTCGTCGAAAAAAGACTCGAGAGATAACTAGCTCTCCAGGAAAAAAGGCTAGAGAAAAAAAAAGACTCGAGAGAAAAATCAACTTGAGAGGAAATCACCTCTTGAGAAAATCACCTCTTGAGGAAATAGGAATCGAGAGAAAAAAATATTTAATAGAAAACCACCTCTAGAGAAAAAAGACTAGGGGTAAAAAAGACTCGAAAGAAAAAAGACTCCTTTAGGAAAAACGTCTTAAGAAAAAAATCTTGAAAAAAAAAAAATTTCGAGGAAAAATGTCTGGAGATACAACCATCTCTCGAGAAAAAAAGAGCAGAGAAAAAAGCAGCTCTCGTGGAACAAAGACTCGAGAGAAAAAATCACCTCTCGAAGAAAAATGATCTCTCTAGGTAAAAAATTCGAAAAAACTCTCAAGAAAAGAAATTGGAAAAATCGTTCTATAAAAACCAATTGAGCTATAAAATTGATACTGAAACTATCGAAAACAGAATAAAATGATTACAATATAAAGTATTTATATTATTGATTTAAAATGAGTTAAAGAATAAGTGAAAATTTGGAAAAACAAAATGTCTAATATATTAAAACGAATAGACTTAAAAAAAATTAAAATTAGATAGAGAAAAGGTAACAAATCTCGAACAGAAACCACCTTCCTAGGAAAAATAGAAATAAATACAACTCTCTAAGAAAAAAAGAATCGAAAAGAGACTAAAGAAAAACACCTATTAAGGAAAAATGACCCAAGAGAAAATAAGACTAGAAAAAATCACCTCTTGAGGAAAAAAGACCCGAGAGAAATCCATCTCTCGAGGAAAATAAGCTTGAGTTAAAACTATCCCTCAACGAAACTGGAAGAAAAAATCACCTCTCGAGGAAAAATGATCTCTCGAGATAAAAAACTAGAAAAAAATCCACAGGAAAGGATTTGAAAAAATGATCTTTCTATAAAAACCAATTGAGCTATAAAATTGTTACTGAAACTATCGAAAAGAGAATAAAATTATTACAATATAGAGTATTCTTAATATTAATTTAGAATGAGTAAAAAAAATGTAAATTTGGAAAAAATGCCTATTATGTTAAAACAAATAGAGTTAAAATTAGAGAGAGAATAGGTAACAAATCTCGAGGAGAAACCTCCTCCCGAGGAAAAACACTTGAAAGAAATCCAACCCTCTAAGAAAAAAAGAATCAAAAAAAGACTAAAGAAAAAACATCTATTAAGGAAAAATGACCCGAGAGAAAATCAACCGTTGAGAAAATAAGACTAGAAAAAATCACCTCTTGAGGAAAAAAGAATCGAGAAAAAAAATCAAGAGAAAAAGACTCGAGAGAAAGAAGACTCGAGAGATAAAAGACTCGAGAGAAAAAAGACTCAAGAGAAAAAAGACTCGAGAGATACAATACTCGAGAGAAAAAACACTTTAAAGAAAACCACCACTCGAGAAAAAATTACTCGAAAGAAAATAATCATCTTTTGAGGAGAAGTAAGGAAAATTGTCCATCGTATAAAAACGAATATAGATAAAATGAAGATAAACTAAAGAAAATAATAAACTTTCATATAACATAGAGTATTCGTAAAATCGATTTAGAATTAAATATCATTTTAATTTAAGGGAAAGACATAGACTACAAATTATTTTGATTTTGAATTGAGATTAATGAACGATTCTCAGATAGGTTTTAAATTGTAAAAGGGATGGAAAAATGATAAAAACATGAATTTAATTAAAGTAATTTTTTAACTTTGAATTGAAATGGAATAAAAATTATGTAATTTAATAAAGTTAATAAGGAGCTGAATATAAAATGTCAGAAACGGTGTATTTTAAGAAAAGAAACTAGGAAAGTGAGCAGAAAATAGAAGAGAATACTAAACAGGCATTGGAGTCGTTTTTCAGAAACACAACCCAAAAAAAAAGAAAATTTTCACTTCATAAACTATTCCGACAAATAGAAAACATATTTCCGTTTTAACAAATATAACCAAATAGTGCTTTTCGAAAATTCACATTTACCCCTCATTTACTATTTTTTTTATTTCCCTATTTATACTAATATTTATCCACTTCGTTCTCAGACATGGCCCTATTTACGTTTCCATTCACTGTCGATATACCACTCGCAGCTTTTTTCACGTCTTTCACTTTGGTGATAGTAACTGTATCGTTAGTATTAAAAAACAGGTACGCTGCTCCAATCATGCCTCCAAGAGATGCCAGAAGTATCACCCATTTCGAGACGTTCACCACTTTCTTCATCGTGTACAGCATCTTCAAAGGTTTGGTGAACGTGTTGTTTAGGTCCACCCCCTGTAGAGAAAAAATGACATTTAGTTTTGTACATGGGTTGCTCGATTGCTTTGACCACCTCGAAATAATAATGTTACATAAACTTATTCATAATTAGGCCCGATATTAACTGTGCGTCGCTTATACCACTGCTATTAGAACCATTTAAGACACGTTTATTTTATTTTTTGATCATTTTACAACCAGCCTCTCAAATTTATAGTCCGAGCAATAAAGGATAAATCTAGAAAAACATGTTCAAAATTGAGATTACCATTTGAAGGACCATATTAAGTAATAACGCCATATGTGATGAATAGTTATAAATTAAAGTATATAGAGGTAGAGGCAATAAGAGGAATTTTACATAATATACAAGATCTAAAGTTATAGTAAAATAATAATAATCAAAAATATAAATTTGGTAATCAGGAAATAACAAAAATTAACTGAATTTAAGTTGATATACAGGTAAAAGGTCTTTACAAAAACATAGCACATATTCCTTAGACCAAAATAAGTCGATTTAAGTAAAATTACCGTTGTACAAAGTTGCTTCATTTGGGCTCCAGAGGGCCTTGAAGTTACAATTTTTAAATCGATTTTCCCATATAAATTTAAAACGGCATATGCGATTTTGCTGAAATTTGGTATATTGGTAAAGTTTTATGTGGCAAAAAATATGGTATTAAAATTTTGTCCGATAATAATACATAGGCGTAGAACTTGATTTTTTAAATAATTACACCTTTAAAAATTCTACGCCAATGAAATAAAAGGAGTTTGAGTATGAAATTTAGATTGCACAACTCATTTACTTTAAAAAAGGTACTCTTGATAAGACTCGATTACTCTCATGGTTTTGACGAAATTTGCATTTTAGTAATTTTAGAACATAAACAAAAATTATTAAAATAAAAACTTTGTCAAAACCATGAGAGTAAATCGAGTGTTATCAAGGGTACTTTTTTGTAGTAAATGAGTACTCAATCCAAATTTCATACTCAAACCCCTTTTTTGCCATTGGCGTAGAATTTTTAAAGGTGCAATTATTTAAAAAATCAAGTTCTACGCCTATGTATTATTATCGGACAAAATCTTATACGATGAAAAACATAACAATGTACTTTTTTCATAACTTCTTCAACACCTCTAATCGAGACTTTAAAAAAAAAATACTCGATTCTTGCCATGTGCGATTTTTTGAGGAATATTAATTATTTGCCTGCAATACGTATACAAAAACATTTATTGTTGGTTTCCATAGTTTCATCTAAATAAAAATATTGTCAAGTTTTAACACCTAATCTCTTGTTAACGATTGAAAGTGTTCTATCTGACTCAATAATTAAAAAAAACAAATGCGTGGTTTATTAATATGGCTGTATGTGTGTGCGAATTCGAGAACTATGACTGCGGAATCTGAATCCATTTGCCAAACTAAATTATTAAATTTTTTTTTCCTTAATTGATTTGATGTCGGGAAAATTCAATTTTACAATTTTTTGTTTTATGTTTATTTAAATTGATTAGGTAGTCTTTTTTATGAATTTTTTTTTTGTTAGTTTTTCTCTCCTTTTTTTTTTGTTTGTTTTTTTGTTTTTTTTTCTTTTTTTTTTTTGGAATATCACATGGACACAATTACGCTTATGGGTCGATCTAAGCGATTTAGACTAACAAGAGGACCCGGAGAGGTAGGATCACAATTAAGGAGTTTTAACAGAGGAAGTAATATGGCTGTACAATATACCAATGCAGAATATACCGATATGTTACTGACATTAGTATTTTGTGAAGGAAATGCTCGAGAGAGTGTCAAGGTTTCCAAATCGTCGTGTACCTAGCCACCTAACTTTTGCTGCTGTTCAGAGACATCTTCGGGAGACCGGTTCCTTTGCTCCCAACACTGTTGAAAATGGAAGAGAACATTTTGTAAGGATTCCTGAAGTTGAAGAAGACATTTTAGAACGTGTTGAAGAAGATCCAGAATTAAGCACCAGACGAATTGGAAGGGAACTAGGAGTAAGTAAATATGTCGTTCATAAAGTGCTTAAAGAACAATTGCTATATCCATACCATAAAAAGCCAGTACAAGAATTATTAGGCCATGATCCTCAAATACGTTTGGGTTTTTGTCGATTTGTTAATATGCAAAGAGAAAGAGATCCAAACTTTGTCAGGAAGGTTCTCTTTACCGATGAAGCGGGTTTTACAAGAAGAGAATACCCATAATGAACATGTTTATGCCGTTGAAAATCCGCATGCAATAAAGGTTAACCATTTTCAGCACGACTTCAAAATTAATGTGTGGGCTGGAATAATTGGTAATTTAATTGTTGGTCCTGTCATACTTCCACGAAGATTAACTGGATAAAATTATTTGGATTTTCTACAAAATACGTTGGCAGAGTTTTTAGAAGATTTACCTCTCCAACTTCGGAGAGATATGTGGTTTATGCAAGATGTAGCTCCACCACATTTTTCTTTAAACGTTAGAAACCACTTGAATGAAAAATATCCACACAAATGGATAGGCAGAGGTAATGACGCACCTGTAAACTGGCTACCACGTTCCCCAGACCTAACACCGATGGATTACTTTTTATGGGGACATCTGAAATCCACAGTTTACAGGGAACCTGTAGAAAATGAGGAACAACTCTGGCAACATATTCAAGATGCAATAAACAATCTTAGAGGTGATGAAGAAGTTATGGAAAGGATACATTTTAATTTTCTTCGACGTATAAATCTTTGTATGCGTGAAAATGGTGAACATTTTGAACAATTTTTGTAAAATCTCTATTTTGATTATGTTGTAAATAAATATTTTTGTGAAACCTATACACTCTAAATTATTAAAACAGAAATTTAGCGAAAACCATGAGAGTAATCGAGTCTTATCAGGAGTACCTTTTTTAAAGTAAATGAGTTTCGCAATCTAAAATTCATTCTCAAACTTCTTTTTTTTCCATTGGCGTAGAATTTTTAAAGGTGCAATTACTAAAAAAATCAAGTTCTACGCCTATGTATTATTATCGGACAAAATTTTAATACCATTTTTTGCCACATAAAACTCTACCAATGTACCAAATTTCAGCAAAATCGCATATGCCGTTTTAAATTTATATGGGAAAAACGATTTAAAAATTGTAAATTCAAGGCTCTCTGGAGCCCAAACGAAGCAACTTTGTACTAAGGTAATTTGACTTAAATCGACTTATTTTAGTCTAAGAAATATGTGGTATGTTTTTTTAAAGACCTTTTATATGAAACATGATTTTTTTGAATTTAGTCACTTTAATTTAATATTTATGTTGTATTACTGATGTTTCCTAACAGATATCGACAATTTGAATTAGTAAAATTAAGAAAATTTGTTAATTTGTTTTGGTTTAAATATTTTTGTTTGGTATTCGAAATTTGGTATTCAATAATTATTTTTTTTTTTTAAACAAAAAAATAATCTTACCTCCTCTACCCAGAACATGGGAAGGACAGTAGTTGTGAAGTTTTTAAACAGATCCACTTTCTGGTTTGGTTCCAAAGGCATGCTAAACTGAAGTCTCTTTTTGGCCGATACTGGCCCACCAGTCAACTGAAAAAAAGTAAATAAACAATATTATATTACTCCCTGTATATGGAATAACTGGCCCACTCTGCATACTTACTTGTTCAAACAGAATAATTATTTCATGTTCTGTCTTGTTGGGCCTCAGTCCTTTTACGCCTTTCACGTAAGATTCGTCAGAGTCGTAGAAATGTGGCATAGAGGCGTAAATCGGCACGCCAATGCATTTATATAAATCCATCACTCCTTTTTTGAGACACGTATCCGGCGTGTAACAATAGCACTTTTCGTGTTCATTTTTAGACATGTCTCCCAAACTTGCCGAGTATTCGCTGACTGGGATACCGTCGTATTTCGTTTTTTTCACCCAGAATGCTGCTAGAGATCTAAAAAGAATACATTTTGATTTTTAGGTTAAAACTTAAGTTAAAATATAAGATAAAAGGTAAATTTATTGTAAAATGAAGGTAAATTAAAAATAAAAATGTAAGTTAAAATTAGGGTTATTTAAGTTTATATTTAAGTTAAAATTTAGGATAAAATTTAGGTTAAAATGTAAGTTAAAATTTAGGTTAAAATTTATGTTAAAATTTAGGTTAAAATTTAGGTTAAAATTTAGGTTAATGTTTGGATTCAAATTGAGGTTAAAATTTAGGTTAAAGTTTGAGTTCAAATTAAGGTTATAATAGAGGATTTAATGTTGGTTAAAATTAAGATTAAAATGTAAGTATTTAAGTTAAAATTTAAAAAATTTAAGTTGAAATTATAGTCATAATTTAAGATGAAATTAAGTTAAAATTTCGGTTTTAATTAAGGTAAATATTAGGTTAATATTTAAGTCAAAATTTAGGTTAAAAATACAAGTTAAAATTTAGGTTATAATTTAAGTTATAATTTAGGCAAAAAGTTAAAGTCAAAATTGATATTAAAGATTTCAATTAAAATTTGGGTTAAAATTAAAGTTGTAAATTTAAATTAAAATATAAGTTGAAATTTGGGTTACAATTTAAAATGAAATTAAAGTTTAAATTTAGTTGAAATTTGAGTTAAAATTTAGATTGATATTTAGGTTAAAATTTAAGGTTATATGTTATAATTTGGATTACAATTAGGGTTAAAATAAAGAATAAAATTTAAGTTAAAATAAAGTTAAAATTTTGGTTAAAATTAGGTTTAAATTTAAATTGAAATTTTAAATATTATTTAAGTTTATATTTAGGTTAAAAATTTAGGTTTTAATTTAAGTTGTAAATCTAAATTAAAATAAAATTAAACTTTAGGCTATTTAAAATGAAAATAAAGTTTAAATTTAGTTGAAATTTGAGTTAAAATTTAGATTGTAATTCAAGTTGAAATTTAAGTTTAGGTTAAGATTTAGTTTAAAATTTAGGGTAATATGTTATAATTTGGGATGAAATTAGGGTTAAAATTAAAAGTAAAATTAAAGTTAAAAGTAATTTAAACTTATGCTGAAATTTAAGTTGAAATTTTAAATAATATTTAATTTCATATTTATGTTAAAATTTGAGTATTTAAAAATTAGGTTAAATTAAAGGTTGGAATTTGGATTAAAATATGAGTTTAAAAGTAGGTTAATATATGGGTTAAAATTTAGGTTAAAATTAGGATTCAAAGTTAAAATTTATGATGAAATTTAAATTAAAATTTAAGTTAAATTTAAGATATAATTTATGTTAAAAGTTGAGGTAAAATTTAGGTTAAAAATAAAGCTTTTATTTAAATAAAATAAAAGCTAAAAAGTTTAAGATAACATTGAAGTTTAAGTTTGTGTTAAAATTTGGGTTAAAATTTATGACCAAATTAAAGTTGGTAATTTTAACGAAAATTTAATTTGAAATTTAAAATATAAGTTGAAATTTAAGTTATAATTTAAGATAATATTTAAGTTAAAATTTAGTGGAAATTTGAGTTTAATATTTAGCTTAAAGTTTAAGTTAAAATTTAAATTAAAAATTTGGTTAAAGGTTTAGTTATTATTTAAGTTAAAATTAATGATAAAATTTAAGTTAAAACTTAGGTTTAAATTAAGGTTAAAATTCGGGTTAAAATTAAGTTGATATTTTAGTTAATACTTAGGTTTATATTTAGGTTAAAATTAAGTTTAAAAATTAAATAAAAATTTAACTTAAATTTAAGATTGTAAGATTGGAATTCGGATCAACATTTGGATTAAAATATCAGTTCAAATTAAGGTTAAAATAAAGGTTAAAATTCAAGTTATAATTTAGGTTTAAGTTTAAGTTAAAATTTTAATTAAAATTTAATTTAAAAAATTGGTTAAAATGTTACTTATTATTTAAATTAAAATAAAAGATAAAATTTAAGTTAAAATTAAGGTTAAAATTCGGGTTAAAATTAAGTTAATATTTAGGTTTATATTTAGGTTCATATTTAGGTTAAAATAGAGTTTAAAATTTAAATAAAAATTTAAGTTAAATGCAAAATTGTAAGATTGGAATTTGGGTTAAAATATGAGTTCAAATTTAGTTTAAAATTTAAGTTAAAATTAGGGTTAAAATTAAGGTTAAAATAAATGTTAAAATTCAAGTTAAATTTAAGTTATAATTGACGTTAAAATTAAAGTTGAAATTGAAATTAAATTGAAGTTAAAATTGAAGTTAAAATTAAAGTTAATATTAAAGTTAATATTAAAGTTAAAATTAAATTTAAAGAAAAAATGAAGGGTAAAATTTATATTAAAATTTAAGCCAAAATTCGTTTAATCATAAAAGATTTACAGGGCGATTCAAAATTGTTTGCAAACATTTTAAGGACCTATGTACCAGTCAAAAATAAGAAATTTTTTTCACATAATAATAGGTCTTAACTAGCTTCCTTTTTTAGATACGTCAAAGTTTTTTTAAAAAACGGTTTTTTATCAATTACTGAAAAACCTTTTAGCCGATTTAAATAAAATTTGGTATGCTTATTTGTCGTCATAAGGGCCTTTATTTGGTGAGTATAAAATAAATTTATTAATTCCAGTAGCGTCTCAGAGAACTACTTACTTGATAGTTATAGGTAAAATTATGGTACGACACTGCTTTTTTGTCAGTTAAAAATTTTTTTTTAGATTAAGCGATTAATAATGTAACTTTCTTTCCTCCTAAACTTTACCCGTATCTAGCTTTGTTTCCAAGAAAAAATCAAAATCTGTTCCTGACCCTATAAAAACAAGTAAAAAACTAATTATTAAATGATGGAAATTGGCGCCAAATAGGTCTGTCTAAATTTTTATTTGTGTTATAAAATTTCATTCATTATTTATTCCAGTGGCGTCTTAAAGTGTGATTTTATTTAATTAATATTTGTTAAAAAACCGATTTTTTTTTAAAAAACTTTGATACCCTGTATCTAGAAAACGAAGCAAGTTAGGACATACGATTATATGAATTTTTTTTCTTATTTCTGACTGGTAAATACGCCCTTAAAATCTTTGCATTCAATTTTGAATCACCCTGTATAACAATTTCAAAAACCATTTTAGATTCACGGTTAAATTTAAAGAGAACACATAACGAACTTAACCTACGTCGTTTTAATAATAGTCATTATAAAATTAGCCACATTTTCTGATAGGTCTCAACTTAATACCTGCAAAGGTCAGGAGCAAACGACACCAACCCCTCTTCTTTTTTTAACATCGGAGGAAACACTGTACCATCGGTTCCTTTTATTTTGTTACATTCTTCTGTCGGCCAGACAGACATTTTAGCCATCCCATCATGTTCCACAATCCTACCTACGTCATGATAATCTTTGGTTCCGCGAAGAGCTTTGATTCGTTTTTGAAGCGTGCCATTTTTCTACAAATTTAACAATAATGAATAGTACACAAAAAATAGTAAAGAAAATAAGATTTTTTGGAAAAAAATATTATGAATATAAAGTTGGTGAGTCAAATGCGATCGTTATTTGTTAAAAACGGCATTTGTTAAATTAATTTAAATCTGAACTTTTACCAACATTTTAAAATTTAAAAAAAAAAATCGAGTTTTGTGTGAAAAAAACTAAAAAATTTGCCATTTGATTCTGTAGTGGGATTTGATTTTGTGAATATACAGTTAGTAAGTTGATTTTAAAAATATTGACAAGCGACAAATCAAAAAATGCTGTCGTTTTTCGTCAAAAAACATCATTTGTCAGTCTGTAGTTGACAGAATGAGTCACAGGACACTTCAGTTTTCTGTTAAATTAATTATATTATAAATTTTCATGAATCTACTTTGCGATAATTTTAAAATTATCCGAAAGATCTAATTTTGTAGGAAAAATTACCAATTTATTCTAAAATGAGGTTTGATTTTGTGAATATACAGTTGGTGCGCTAGTAACAAACGATCAATCGTTTCATACAACAGTTGTGATAACGAAAAAATTATTCCTTACCGGTCCAAGCAAAGAAAAAGCCAAAATTTTATCGTCAACTTCTCTCAACGTACCAGCAGACCTCAATTGCGCACAAATAGCCTTACCAGCGAAATCAGTCACCCCGCAATTGATGTTTACTCCGTCAAAGAGTATATCGTCAGCTTTCCCAGTCAAAAATATTGAAGTAGGATTGTCGTATATAGATTTAAAGGCTTTGTTGATTAAGGAAAGAGCTCCAGGTTTGGCTCGCATTACTGCATTAACTATTCCCTATAAAGTAAATGAAAAGATTGTTGTTTAAGGTCTGTTCCAACAATGATGAGAAACCAGTCACTGAAACAATGGTAAGTGAAGAATCCTGGTATCAGCAACTGGTTTCTAATCGTTGTTGAAAGAGATTTATCGTTTAAAGTTATTCACAATGGAGTAGTTCAACAGTTGTACTTAGAGTGAAGATAAGAAAGAGATAAAAACAAAGTCATTTGATTAAATTTTCACCAACAAGCTTTTTAATGTCATTGAAAAAAAGTCTAATTAGCATTTACATTTCTACCTTTTATTTTATTATAAATTTAAGTTTTGAAAATCAATCTTGAATTATTCAATATATGTAAAAGGTCTTTACAAAAACATACCACATATTCCTTAGACCAAAATAAGTCGATTTAAGTAAAATTACCTTAGTACAAAGTTGCTTCGTTTGGGCTCCAGAGGGCCTTGAAGTTACAATTTTTAAATCGTTTTTCCCATATAAATTTAAAACGGCATATGCGATTTTGCTGAAATTTGGTATATTGGTAGAGTTTTATGTGGCAAAAAAGTGGTATTAAAATTTTGTCCTATAATAATACATAGGCGTAGAACTTGATTTTTTAAATAATTGCACCTTTAAAAATTCTACGCCAATGGAAGAAAAGGAGTTTGAGTATAAAATTTAGATTGCGCAACTCATTTACTTTAAAAAAGGTACTCTTGATAAGACTCGATTACTCTCATGGTTTTCGCTAAATTTCTGTTTTGATAATTTAGAGTGTATAGGTTTCACAAAAATATTTATTTACAACATAATCAAAATAGAGATTTTACAAAAATTGTTCAAAATGTTCACCATTTTCACGCATACAAAGATTTATACGTCGAAGAAAATTAAAATGTATCCTTTCCATAACTTCTTCATCACCTTTAAGATTGTTTATTGCATCTTGAATACGTTGCAAGAGTTGTTCCTCATTTTCTACAGGTTCCCTGTAAACTGTGGATTTCAGATGTCCCTATAAAAAGTAATCCATCGGTGTTAGGTCTGGGGAACGTGGTGGCCAGTTTACAGGTGCGTCATTACCTCTGCCTATCCATTGGTGTGGATAATGTTTATTCAAGTGGTTTCTAAAGTTTAAAGAAAAATGTGGTGGAGCTCGATCTTGCATAAACCACATATCACTCCGAAGTTGGAGAGGTAAATCTTCTAACAATTCTGGCAAGGTATTGTGTAGAAAATCCAAATAATTTTCTTCAGTTAATCTTCGTGGAAGTATGACAGGACCAACAATGAAATTACCAATTATTCCAGCCCAAACATTAATTTTGAATTCGTGCTGATGATAATGGTTTACCTTTATTGCATGCGGATTTTCAACGGCATAAACATGTTCATTATGGGTATTAGTTATACCTCTTCTTGTAAAACCCGCTTCATCGGTAAAGAGAACCTTCTTGACAAAGTTTGGATCTCTTTCTCTTTGCATATTAACAAATCGACAAAACCCAAACGAATTTGAGGATCATGGACTAATAATTCTTGTACTGGCTTCTTATGGTATGAATATAGCAATTGTTTGCTAAGCACTTTATGAACGACATCTTTACTTACTCCTAGTTCCCTTCCAATTCGTCTGGTGCTTAATTGTGGATCTTCTTCAACACGTTCTAAAATGTCTTCTTTAACTTCAGGAATCCTTACAAAACGTTCTCTTCCATTATCAAGAGTGTTGGGAGCAAAGGAACCGGTCTCCCGAAGACGTCTCTCAACAGCAGCAAAAGTTGGGTGGCTAGGTACACGACGATTTGGAAACCTTTCAGAGTACACCCTGACACACCCTTCACAAAATCCTAATGTCAGTAACATATTGGTATATTCTGCATTGGTATATTGTACAGCCATATTAATAAACCACGCATTTGTTTTTTTAATTATTGAGTCAGATAGAACACTTTCAATCGTTAACAAGAGATTAGGTGTTAAAACTTGACAATATTTTTATTTAGATGAAACTATGGAAACCAACAATAAATGTTTTTGTATACGTATTGCAGGCAAATTAATATTCCTCAATAAATCGTACATGGCAAGAATCGAGTATTTTTGTTAAAAGTCTCGATTAGAGGTATTGAAGAAGATATAAAGAAAAAACATTTTTATGTTTTTCATCGTATAAAATTTTGTCCGATAATAATATATAGGCGTAGAACTTGATTTTTTAAATAATTGCACTTTTAAAATCTCTACGCCAATGGCAGAAAAGGGGTTTGAGTATGAAATTTGGATTGGGTACTCATTTACTACAAAAAAGTACCCTTGATAACACTCGATTTACTCTCATGGTTTTGACAAAGTTTGTATTTTAATAATTATTGTTTATGTTCTAAAATTACTAAAACCGTGAGAGTAATCGAGACTTATCAAGAGTACCTTTTTTAAAGTAAATGAGTTGCACAATCTAAATTTCATACTCAAACTCCTTTTCTTCTATTGGCGTGGAATTTTTAAAGGTGCAATTATTTAAAAAATCAAGTTCTACGCCTATGTATTATTATCGGACAAAATTTTAATACTATTTTTTTTGCCACATAAAACTCTACCAATATACCAAATTTCAGCAAAATCGCATATGCCGTTTTAAATTTATATGGGAAAAACGATTTAAAAATTGTAACTTCAAGGCCCTCTGGAGCCCAAACGAAGCAACTTTGTACAAAGGTAATTTTACTTAAATCGACTTATTTTGGTCTAAGGAATATGTGGTATGTTTTTGTAAAGACCTTTTACAGACACCCTGTATGTTTATTAATTCCTTCTATGTAGCCAGGATTTAATATTGTTAATATTATTTTTTTTACCATGGAAAAGTACATGTATTAATTAATTTTTTAATTATTTGAAATTTTAAAAATAATTATTTAAAAGTTGACTTGTAAGGACTTGTAAGGGCCTCGTAAAAAAACAGGATTTATTTTTGTTAAGAGAGCAAATATTTGGTAGTCCAAATATTGAAGTATCTTTTTCACTATTATATTTGATTCGTTGAGTCGAATAGGGTTCTTGGTCAATTTTACCATTACAAATCGTTGAGACAAATTGGAAGCTTTAGGAACATAACACAGGTTTAATTTTAATTAATCATCGCAGTTAAATCGCCGACGCCAAATAATAAAATTCAGTTTATAAAATCTAACTGATAATTTTTAATGTTTAGTATTTTTAAAAGCATTATATGTTTAAATGGTTTAACAGTGATAAACATTCACCAAGTATGACGAGCCTAACATCATAACGATCATTTTAAATTTTGTAATTTAAGATGAAAAATATGAACATAAAGTTTTTAATACAAACAGAATAACAATGATTAAGTGATTTTTGTCTTCAGACAACAACGAACCAAAAGATGAAACTGAAGAAGCTGAAATTGAAGATATTTTAATATGCAACGCAGCCTTTCTACGATAAGATAATGAGGATTTAAAGAAAAATCAGTAAAAACTTGTTAGAGTTACCTTTTCTAGTAAATACAAAATCTAAATGAGTCAAATTAAAATGTTTGTTATATTTACCAGAATCAATGGATGAGGAATTGTCACAACTGCTTGACCCGATACACATCCAGGTCCGTCTGTCCTTGTGAAAGTGTCTTTAGAGATATATGAAATTATATCATTGTCTTCATCGTCTGTAACTTCAACTTTTTCTTTCCATTCTCTATAATAAATTAAAATTTTACCAAAACTATGATATCAAGCATCTAAATACTATTGTTGTGTATAGAAAAATTTATTATTAACCGTGAGATATTTCATCTTTTTTTCTTCTTCAATTGGACTCTAATATGTCATTTTTGAAGTGTCAAAACGATACAACAACTGGAGTGCGTTTAGAAACCCCGCACGGCGCGTCTCACCACATACATTAGAATAGGGTCCAGACGCGCCGTGCGTGGTTTCTAAACGCACTCCTGTAGTTTAATTTATCATAGATATGACGCATACTTTTAAAACTTTTAAGACTTTACTTACTGAAAACAGAAAGGTCCAACTTCATTTACTTCGGGTATGGCGCCATTTTGAATCTCCATCGGATTCGTCACATTGAAGATATATATTTTAAATGACAAACCAAATGGTACTTTGAGGAACATTCCTCTGATTTCCATGCCTGGTCCAAGATTTACCATCTGAAATTAAATCTTGTTTAAAAAAATCTAACGAGACATTTTAGGAAAATATAAGTAAGGTAGGAATTGTAAGAATTTTAATGTCAGGGAAAGGGAATGAAGTCGCCCTTGAAACCAGTTTTGGATCCTAAATAACTACCATATTATTAAGTTTTCAAATAGGCGGGAAATTGTAAGAAACTCCACCTATTTCTAATATTTCTGTTTTTCTTGATATTAATAATTATAATAATAAATGGTGTTGCTTTCTGTCAATACATCATTTCAAACAGATAATTTTCTTACCACGCCTCTCAAATTTGAAGCAGTATGAAAATGGAATAAAATAAATAATTCACAGGGGAACAGCTGTTTTGGTGTCGAGGTTTTTTGTGCTGATTCTATATCAATTTGATGTTCTGAATTCAAATAATGTGTTCATTTTTACCTAGAGCTCAAATTTTTAAGATATACAATTTTAGAGAAATATAAGTATAATATACATTATTTTAACACAAATCCGCAAGTGTAGTAAACAAAAGTAGATACAGATACGAAACTTTTATTTTAGTTATACGAAATACAATATTATGTCGTACTTACAAACAAAAAAGCTTTATGTTTGCCTAGAAAATTTTCTACAACTGCATCAAATGATGTTCAAGAAAAAAAAAATTTGAGAGAAAATTACCTCTTGAGAAATAAAGACTCGAGAAAAAAATCACCTCTTGAGAGTAGATAGACAAAGCCACCATGGGCCCACATAGGGAATTCAATATGTAAGAGTGAGAGGTACAAGTTCAATAGGTAAGAGTGAGACAGAGTGTACCACGTGGTCCGATTCAAACTGGAAAAATGGCATTATGTAGAGAACGCGGTATAGATTAACGTAGAAGAGAAAAAACATGCGCAGAACGAAAACCAGAATGGCCTTAGCATGTATCTTCACTGCTATTGGACCGATTCAAACGGGAAAAACGGAATTATGTAGAGAACGCGGTATAGATTAACGTAGAAGAGAAAAAACATAAGCAGAACGAAGAGCCAGAATGGCCTTAGCGTGTATCTTCACGGCTATTGGACCGATTCAAACGGGAAAAACGGCTCTATGTAGAGAACGCGGTATAGCTTAACGTAGAAGAGAAAAAACATAAGCAGAACGAAAAGCCAGAATGGCCTTAGCGTGTATCACGTGCTTCGATTTAAGCGGGAAAAACGGTATTATGTAGTGAACGTGGTATAGGTGAAGGTTGAAGAGAAAAATCGACGTTTCGTTTGACGTTTGAAGTTTTCGTTTGACGTTTTCGTTTGACGTTTTCGTTTGACGTTTATGTTTGACGTTTTCGTTTGACGTTTTCGTTTGATGTTTTCGTTTGACGTTTTCGTTTGACATTTTCGTTTGACGTTTTCGTTTGACGTTTTCGTTTGACGTTTTCGTTTGACGTTTTCGTTTGACGTTTTCGTTTGACGTTTTTGTTTGACGTTTTCGTTTGACGTTTTCGTTTGACGTTTTCGTTTGACGTTTTCGTTTGACGTTTTCGTTTGACGTTTTCCTTTGACGTTTTCGTTTGACGTTTTCGTTTGACGTTTTCGTTTGACGTTTTCGTTTGACGTTTTCGTTTCACATGAACGAAGGTTAGGTTAGGAGGGCATACGAGAAGTTCTCCTTGTTTCATCGTATTCTTATTTTTCATCTTTTCTCGGCAAATTTCTTTAGAACTTCTCGTATGCCCTCCTAACCTAACCTTCGTTCACGTGAACGCATGTCGCAACGACGCTTACATCACGTTCGTTTGTACTAATGCGCAAAAATCTTGGTGGTGGGGGTAATGAATTATTTGTTTAAGATATTGAGACATTAAAGACTTCCAGCTACTGAGACATTTTCTACGAATAGCTTCTCTAAAAATAACAAAAAATGTGTCTTCATTGTCAAAAACTGATTATTTGACTCTCTTGAATCTAAATGAAATTAACGCTTTGTCGCCACATGAAATGGCACAAGATTACGAAGAATTGTCTAAAGAATGGTATCACTTAATATTAAATGAAAAGGACTTTAATGTACTTGCTTGTGCTCCAAATATTAAATGGTATTCAATTTGTCGATGTCATCTAATAGCAGACGATGATAGTACAGCACATGAACATCTTCACGCTTTAATACATTTTACTAATGGATTTACAATGTTAGCCTACAAGAAAAAACTACAGCGCACTGATACACGACTCCATTCAAAAATAACTTTCAAGAAAATAATTTGCTTGGACCATGCTGTTGGTGTCCTCAGATACATCACCTGTGCTGATGGATAAAAGCCGCTTAGAAGGGATGGAGATGGTCTTAGAGGTACACCTCATTCTTATTACGATTGAAGAGTATTCAAACAAGATTGGTTACATTCCCGGGGAAATCAATGTTGCTTAGTACGCACAGAAATTTCAGAATTAGCATCTGAAGGTGTTAAAGACTTAGAAAAATATACGTCTCAACACGAACTTCATAATAAATCCACATGTAGATGTGATAGAGGTGCCGAAGGAATAAGGGGGAGGGAAGAAGCTAACGAGAAACGAAGACAATTTTACAAAACAGAACGGGGAATGGAAATTAGGAATAATTACAAAGAAAAAGAAACTAATTACAAGTTTACTGAAAATAGGTCTAAATAAAAAAGCTGAGCTTCAAAGAGAGACAATTTTGAAACTCATTGAGTTACTGTAAATACTTAATACTGTTACTTTAAAAATATAATTTTGAAATAAAATATATTTTAATTTCATTGTATAATGTTGACTTTACCCTATTTCAAATAACTTTCCCCCATTTAAATTATTAGCAATATTTGTCCAATCTTTACTTAAATGTCCACACCTGCACTCTACTGTCCAGAGCATTGGTGTCCAAGATCTTATCATATTAAATCCTGAAAATTCATATTTTCTACGATTGTTGGGGTTCTGTTCGTACAATTCAATACCTAATAATGATGGAGAGAAGTTTTACTATTATGAGAATAATAATTAAAAAAAAATTAATGACCATCGCAATTCCTACAGGTTCCTATGAAATTACAGATATCGAAAAATATATAAAGAATGACCTTGAGTTACAGACAAACAGCATTAACGAGTTTTCATTGCAACCGAATGACAATACCCTCAAGTGTAAAATATATAGGCAAAATTACGCTATATCATTTGTAGAGGACGATAGTCTTGGTAAAATTTTAGGATTTTCCAAAACAACTCTTGCTCCAGGCCGAAAGTATGCATCAGATCTACCTGTAAACATTATAAAAGTATCTAGCATACACTTTGATTGTAACATTACTGAAGGAGCTTTCTATGGAGATAGACCTACGCATTCAATATACGAGTTCCCGATAATAAAAAATCCTGGATATCAGATTATAGAACGTCCTCATAACCCAATATACTTACCTATAAGCATTAGCAGAGAAATAACAAACATAACAGTTGTGGCGCTTGATCAAGAGCAAAGGCCCGTAAATTTTCGTGGTGAACTAAGTACTCTTTATTTAGAATTACAAGAACGTTAAATGGATTTAGTTATAAACACTTCTGCATACGTGACATCGTCAGTTCCAACCAGACTTCCTCAGCGACAAGTCGTTGAACGTATCTCTACACAAAACATATTATTTTTTAAATCGATTGGATTAAAACCTAAACGGAATGGTAAAACGCAGGCACGATGATAGAAGAAGTAGAGCTGCGCCACAAAAAGACAAAATTTAACCTCAAACTATCGATTTAGAATAAAAATGTAATTTTTTAATTATTTAAGTGAAAAACTCAAGAGAAACCACCTCTTATTAAAGAAAAATCACTCAAGAAAAAACCATCTTTCGAGGAAAAAAAAAAGAACTTGAGAGAAAACCAACTCTCGGGGAAAAAATACACGAGAAAAAATCACCTCTTGAGGAAAAAAATACTCGAGAGATAATCACCTCTCGAGGAGAGAATAAAATTTGAAACAATACATAACACCGATTTAAAATGAAATGTAAACGTATCATTACTTATTACAGCATTATTCTCAAATTAACAAGATTCATTCATATAATTTGTCGATATTTAATATAATGTTTACTTCCTTACGTCTACAATTTAATAATCTTCATTACGGAATTTGGTACCTATTACAAAATAACAAAACTTAATATTAAGAAAAATACTGTAATTTTGGAAGATGTGTACTTTACGTAGAATGTTTGTTACATCATAATAACATGATTGTACATATAATATTATACAGCAGTGAAAAACCTAAATATTTAGAGTTTTCTTGGTAATTTTTTAAACCAACAATAGCCTACAAAATATTAATAATTAAAGTTTCAAAAATCCGTGTAAATTATTAGGTGTTTTTATTTTGAAAGGCCAAGGACTTCTGAGATTAATTAAAAAAATCAAATTAAACAATTAAAAAATTAATTATTAAAACATTGAAGGACCATAATTACTAATTAGGTATTATTAAACTATTTTCTATGTTATTACGTGATCAAAACGTAAAAATGTTATATTTAATTAAAATATCGATAATACGAAATTAATTGTAGGGTTTTAAATAATAATTTAATGCCGCCTGTCTAATTTTGTGGTATATTTGATTGTATTTATTATAAAGTAATTAGTAACTTTACTTAAATGAGAAAAATCAAATATTGTAGATTTAAAAAAATATTAATAATAAAAATGTCCAGACGAAATTTTGTTTTTTGGATTTTCGGATTCAGAATGATCAGAAACATGAAAAAAAGTTTTAAAAAATGGGGTCAGACATTTTTTTCGTCTGCATGAATGCAATACTGAGGCCCCATGAGAAGGACCTCAGTAAAATTATAGGAGTAAATAAATAGGCAAATAGTAAGTAATAAATTTAAATACTATGGTTATGTTATCTAAACATTTTATTAATTAAAAAATATTGAGAAATTTGAAATGTTAAGGTATAAGTCGAAGTGTACAAGTGTACAAAAAGTAACGAAACATAATAATATTTAGATTCCTGATAGGTTTGTAAAACAATTTTGAACAAAATATTATGAAATGAAATGAATCAAAATCGCACAAATTTCG